GTGGAGCCGCTGACCGGAGCTGGACTGAACCCCAGTGAAGCGGATTGCTCTGGCTCCGGAGTGGAGCAGCTGACCGGAGCTGAACTGGGCACCGGTGGAGTGGACTGCTCTGGCTCCGGAGTAGAGCAGCTGACCGGTGCCAGACCAGGCACCGGTCAGCTGCCAGTGGCGACGCGCACCACTGGCTTGGTGCGAGGGACAAGAACAGGTCGGGCCGGGCTGGCGACGCGCACCACTGGCTTGGTGCGAGGGGCAGGAACAGGCCGGGCCGGGCTGGCGACGCGCACCACTGGCTTGGTGCGAGGGGCAGGAACAGGCCGGGCCGGGCTGGCGACGCGCACCACTGGCTTAGTGCGGGGAGCAGGAACGGGCCGGACCAGACTGGCGACACGCACCACTTGCTTGGTGCGAGGAGCGGGAACAGGCCGGGGCGGGCTGGCGACGTGCACCACTGGCTTGGTGCGAGGGGCAGGAACGGGCCGGGCCGTACTGGGAACACGCACCACTGACTTAGTGCGGGGAGCAGGAACGGGCCAGACCGGACTGGCGACACGCACCACTTGCTTGGTGCGAGGAGCGGGACTGGGTTCCTTCTGCTGCCTAACCAGCTCCTCTCGCCGTGCCTCTACACCTTCCTTCTGCTCCCTCGGAACCAATGGCCCCCGTAATCTGGTGGCCTCCTCTCCTAACCAGCAGATCCGCCCTGTCGCGGCCTCCTGCTGCCTCGTCGTCCACACCGTGTGCCCCCCCAAATTTTTTGGGGGGGATTGCCTCTCCACCCTGATCAGGGCCTCCCTCTTTCTTGCCAGATCCTCTCTCATCTCCTGCCAAGTCCATCCTCTCTGCTCCTCCTCAGCACACTGCTTGGTCCAGGTCTGGTGGGATCTTCTGTCACGATCGTTCATGAACGGGACGGACCAAGGCGCAGCGTGATATGCCAACATGTTTATTAAACGAATAAACACAATGACAAAACAATAAACTAACGATACGTGACGTCCTAAGGTACACACAACAAACCTCGCACGGAACAAGATCCCACAACCCACTAGTGCCAATAGGCTGCCTAAGTATGGTCCCCAATCAGAGACAACGAGCGACCGCTGCCTCTGATTGGGAACCACACCGGCCAACATAGATCTAGACATACTAGATCTCAACATAGAAAATACAACATAGAAAAACACAACAAGGAAAATACACACCCTGACTCAACATATAAGCGTCCTCTTAGTCAGGGCGTGACAAATGTGATTTTCTGGATTTTCTTTCCTCATTTTGTCTGTCATAGTTGACGTGTACCTATGATGAAAATTACAGGCCTCTCTCATCTTTTTATGTGGGAGAACTTGCACAATTGGTGGCTGACTAAATACTTTTTTTCCCCACTGTATTTAACCCCAACCACGCTACAAATCTTCCATTCAACATCAACAAACCAAATACTCAGTAGTATCCGGTCACCACCCATACCAGCCGCCGAATTCACTCATACACACAGACCCCACCCCATGCCACCGAAATGCCCAACAAAACATAATAGTTCAATGGAACCTCCTATTGGCTCTCCACTATTTATACATTACTTCCATAACCACACCAGTCATGGTCCGATCACCCATCAAACCCCATCACATGATCAAACAACGGCACAACCTTAAACTCATATGGGGCGGCAGGTAGCCCAGTAACCAAGAGCACCGTGCCAGCAACCGAGAGGTCGCCGGTTCCAATCCCCGAGCCGACCAGGTGAAAAATCTGCCGATGTGCCCCCGAGCAAGGCACCCAACCCCAATTGCTCCTGCAAATCGCTCTGGACAAGAGCGTCTGCTAAATGACCGCAAATGTAAATATTCTCTACTTTCTCACCCATGATGTACGTCTACGTTCGGGTGAGCAGGTTCATACGTCAATATTCTTTCCGCTTCTCCACTGGTAGTCATGTTTTTCGTTTTAATTTGTAATATTCGTCCGTTATTTAATTATTTAAAGTGTGTCTATCTATTTATTTAAATCAAATTATTCCCACCTAATTAGTTAAAGTCGGTGCATATTTATATTTCAACGATAAACCAAATTATTTCAGTCTAATTATTTAACCAGTATTTTTGCAGGGTCAAACATCAAACGTTAAATTAATGTGGCGTCAAACATAAAACATTTATATTTGGGAACTTAATCACATCAAGCCAATATCATGTTGTGTTGAACATCCAACGTTAAGTTGAATAATATCAAATTTCAACTTAATTTCTTCTTTAAAACCAGTATTATGTTATTTCAAACACCAACGTTACAGTTTAATTATATCAGTTCAATACATTTCAATTTAGTTATATTGACTATTCATTATTTTTACCTCTATTTTCAATCTCAACCTCGCCTACTATCCTCCTCCCTATCTAAAAAATACTCAGCTGAACCTAGCCGTACCCTCGTAGTTACGGACCTTGCCAGTCGCCAGTATTTATCTAAAATTTCCCGAACCTAGCCGTACCCTCGTAGTTACGGACCTTGCCGGTGTAATTCTTCGAACCTAGCCGTACCCTCGTAGTTACGGACCTTGCCGATAGCAATTACTAATTCAATTATTCCCTGTATCTTCGAACCTAGCCGTACCCTCGTAGTTACGGACCTTGCCGATAGATTTCAGTATTTTCCCCGAACCTAGCCGTACCCTCGTAGTTACGGACCTTGCCAGTGGAACAATACTCTATGGTACCATGGTTTAACATCACATTCACCACAGGTTTGCATGTCACAATATGGTGCTTATCTACTCATAATAATTTGTATAATAATTCATAATTTAGTTCACTTACATCAAACAGGTGTTTCACAAAATTAATTTGGATAAAACCAATGTGCAGAACTTTAGTTATATAACAATAGGTGTCTGCTTACCTGTTTTTAGTTGTCCGGACTCTTTGTGAAACACACCGTCCAACGACAGCGATGTCCAATGGGCCGGACGATATCCAGCGAAGTCCCTCTACCAGATCACGTCGGCGGTCACCAATTGTTAAGTTGCATCGATTCAAATCTGGTATAGGAACAAAAAGAGGTCAATACACGTCTTCTAAAATAGACTATATTTTAATTAATGCAAATACTTGAATTGGTAAATATGATGTTCGTATATACGGGCCCACTGAAAAACCACGCAGGGCAGTCAGAGAACTGAGCCATTGTCATAAGTTCTTCTTTAAATACTCTGACAGAGATAGTTCCTGCTCCAAGCAGGCCTATCAGAGTAGAGTCTGAGCGTGGTTTAGACTTACTCAGCCTATCGTTGGCGCACAGGCTGGTCCAATCCCCTTGGCGCTTCACTATTGCCAGGCATTAGTTGTTATCTCCACAACTTGTCTCGAGTCAGCAACCCCAGACACAGTTTGTCCTTGAGCGGTTTAACAAAGAGGCAGTGTGTGTGTATGTGAATCACAAATCTGTCTCGGCCTACCCCCTAATGGTTCCTCACATTAATTACAGCTTGTTATGTTAAACAATCTGTATCAGTACAGCACAAACCTATTATGTTTTATCATTAATGTATTCTTTCTAAGCTAGGCATCACATCTAGTTATAAGAAAATAGATCCCCACACCATTGTGGAGAGGTTGGAGTCTGTTTGATTGAGTGTGTGGACAGGTGTATTTTATACAGGTAACGAGTTCAAACAGGTCCAGTTAATACAGGTAATGAGTGGAGAACAGGAGGGCTTCTTAAAGAAAAACTAACAGGTCTGTGAGAGCCGGAATTCTTACTGGTTGTTAGGTGATCAAATACTTATGTCATGCAATAAAATGCAAATTAATTACTTAAAAATCATACAATGTGATTTTCTGGATTTCTGTTTTAGATTCCGTCTCTCACAGTTGAAGTGTACCTATGATAAAAATTACAGACCTCTACATGCTTTGTAAGTAGGAAAACCTGCAAAATCGGCAGTGTATCAAATACTTGTTCTCCCCACTGTATGTTATGTCGGAAAAAGTCAGTTATAATTTCCTTTGTCCTAGTTAAAAATAAATTATCATCCAATAGGCTTTCATTAAATTTCCAATATCCTCGCCCACGTGGAAATTCAGTAAGAGTAATGTATATGCCAATTATATGATGGTCCGACCGCATTCTGTCCCCTATCAACACTTTTTTAACTTTTGGTGCCAACGAGAATGAGATAAGAAAGAAGTCAAGACGACTAGCTTGATTGAGTCTCCGCCATGTATATCTCACTTGGTCAGGATATTTAAGCCTCCATATATCTACTAGTTCTAATGTATCCATGACATTCACGATTTCCTTAAGAGCATGTGGGTGATTGTTTGTGGTGTGATTTCCTTTACGGTCCATTGAGCTATTTAAAACAGTATTATAATCCCCCACCATAATAATATTGTCTTGAATTGCTTACAGGGTTGATAATTTATTATATATATTGTCAAAGAAGTGTGGATCATCATTATTTGGTCCGTAAATGTTAATGAGCCATATCTGTTTATTGTCCAATAACATATTTAAAATAATCCATCTACCTTGTGTATCTATTTTGACAATTTGCACATTCGGATTGAAATTACTATTAATTAATATCATCACCCCCCCCCCCCCCCCCCCCCCCCCATTCCTTTTTCCACGCAACTATTCCTTCTCTTTGAGCCATGTAAATATCGTTCTTCTTTTGTTATTATCAGCTAAGCCATTACAATTATAACTGGCTATACTTATTTCACCATACACCATAATGAGATACAAGTTTCAAGTCTATTTATCATTATATATGTTATTATTGTATTGCCAATCCCTCTTAAAAGGTTGTAGTTCAACCCTGTAAGTCATTATAATGACAAACGGTGCAGATTGTTGGTCAGTCAAGTCAACTTATTCTATTCCTCTTTATTAATGGCTGGTCAAACAAAATATGAACACGATTCAAACGTTAACAATTGAGCAGACGTGCACAGCGTTTCCCGTGAATACGATCTCCGTGAACGTCGGTAAAAATACTTATACAGACCATTATAGTCCAAGTGTCCTGGACATTCTCTTAACCTGGACATTACGCACAAACTGCTATTGCATTTACATGCTGTAAGTACTCTAAGAATATACATGTAATGGAGCCTGCATGGTCAACAACTATCAGCATTTTATAGGCATCTGCACATCACATCCATACTACATAATCAGCTACACCAAGCAAAGGCCATTCATAAACAGTCACAGTATTCCTCATTTTGTGTTTATAAAATGTGATGTGTAGTCAACATAACAGCTGGTTTGGATAAAGAGTTTACCCATGGGTTTTCTCAACAAACAAACTTACAAGCTACAGATATAGGATCTTAATTTGATTACCTTGTTGTTGTTGCAAACTTATAGTGTATAGTGTAAAAAAAAATATATTATGCACTCACTAACTGTAAATCGCTCTGGATAAGAGCGTCTGCTAAATGACTAAAATGTAAAATGTATTCAAGGTTTAAAAAGGCTTCTAAAGTTTGTAATGTCCACTTGAAAATGTCAGACTTGATTTGCCCTAACTAAAAATGTGTCACCCCCTACAAAAATGTCCATTAATTATAATCCACACAATAATTCACATTTCCTGTTGCTGCAGGATTATTTTCCTGCTGTGAGAAAATTGTCAAATTAAGATCGTGCATCTGTAGCAACATGTTCCTTGTCCCAGCCAGAGTTACAGCTCTGGCCAAGACACTGACTCTCTACGTCTTGTAGGACAGCAGGTGGCGTATAGTCAGTGAACTGCATGAGGCTGTGATGTCCACTGTGATGAGCTTTCTTCTCTATGTTGGAGATCTCTATATTGAGGGATCTCTATGTTATGTTACAGTTTAGAGATCTCTATGTTAAATATCCATATACTTTATTGAGGGATCTCTTTGATAACTTAAGGCTCTGGGCAGTTCTATGTTCTAGGTGGGCTTCATGGTTCCCTGGTGGGGAGCTACTGGATCTAGGTTGGCCCCCGTGGTTCTAGGTTAGCCCCTTCATGGTTCTAAGTTTGCTCCTGTGGTTCTATGTTGGCCCTCGTGGTTCTAAGTTGGCCCTTGTGGTTCTAAGTTGGCCCTCATGGTTCTCTGCTGAGGAACTGCTGTATCTCTTGGTCCAGCTCCTGGTTACGTCTCTGGGCCTCATCTCGGCTGCGTTCCGCGTTCCTCAGCCTGATCTCCAGAGCGGACACACAGCGCTTCTCTGCGTCCAGGGCTGACTGCAGCTCTGCTACTGTGGCACTCAGCTCTTTGTTCCTCTGCTGCAGGCTGCATGACAGCGGAGAATGAAGAGGGGAGAGGGAGAGGGGAGATATTATTTATGAATGCAGAGTAAAGTATGTATAGGTCAGTGTGTGTGTGCGTGTGTGTAAGCATGTGTTTATGTAATAATCTTACTAGTGTTGACATTTTGTCCTTTCCAATAAGATAGTGTCTGCGTCTCAAATAGCATCCAATTCCCTACATAAGTAAAACATAATGTAGGGCATAGGGTGCCATTTGGGATGCAGACAGTATTCTTACCCCCATTATACAGACCTGGTAATGAGGTGCTCTGAGTTTCCCTGGCTGTCTTCCTGCTGGTCAGCCTTGCTGTCTGGTTGGAGGGCTGAAGATGAAACCACAGCTGTACTGGCCTCTGTCTTCTTCTCAGGAGTCGAGGGCTGAGACTTTTGCTGGGGGACATTAATGGGTTTCGAAGAGGTGGCTGTGATGTCATCATAGGTGACTGTGATGTCACATCCTCTCCTGGCCGTCCCTCTGTCCTCCCAGTCCTTCTGGGCGCCTCCGAACAGAGACGTCTTCTGCAGGTCCAGGATCTTAAAGATGTCCTCTGAGAGAGTCTTCTCCCCCTTCTCTTCGCTGCTCTCCTGGATGCGGCTCCAGCGGTTCATGGCTTCCAGCTTGCCGGCTCTCCCGCTCCCCGGGACAGGGCAGTTCAAAGTAGGTAGGGTCTGGGTGCGTTTGCGGGGGCTCCCAGACAAGGGGTCGAAGGCTGAGGATGAGGAGGGGGAGTGGGGCTGCTGGGGACCAGTCTGGGGGATGGAGATGGTAACTGGCTCAGCCCCCAGGGTGTCTGTGTCCTCCTCCTCCTCCTCTGGAGACTCTGACAGAAAGCCCTCACACTGCAGGGACATAGAGGATGTGGAATGTAGTATAGACCACAAAACTAGAATGAGAGATTATATTTATATTGTTTAGCTTTATGCAATGCTTACTGGTATAATGTATCATAATATATGACTCATTTCGTTTTGTATAGAATACCACGTTCACAGTATGAAATAATGTTTTATTTTTTATTTAACCTTTATTTAACCAGGTAAGCCAGTTGAGAACAAGTTCTCATTTACAACTGCGACCTGGCCAAGATAAAGCAAAGCAGTGCGATAAAAACAACAACACAGCGTTACATATGGTCCTCTGTAGCTCAGCTGGTAGAGCACGGCGCTTGTAACGCCAAGGTAGTGGGTTCGATCCCCGGGACCACCCATACACAAAAAATGTATGCACGCATGACTGTAAGTCGCTTTGGATAAAAGCGTCTGCTAAATGGCATATTATTATTTTATATTATTATATGGGGTAAACAAAACATAAAGTCAAAAATTCAACAGAAAAGATATATACAGTATGTGCGAATGTAGTAAGTTATGGAGGTAAGGCAATAAATAGGCCATAGTGCAAAATAGTTACAATTTCGTATTAACACTGGAATGATAGATGTGCAAAAGATGATGTGCAAATAGAGATACTGGGGTGCAAATTAGCAAAATAAATAACAATATGGGGATGAGGTAGTTGGGTGGGCTAATTTCAGAAAGGCTGTGTACAGGTGCAGTGATCGGTAAGCTGCTCTGACAACTGACGCTTAAAGTTAGTGAGGGAGATAAGAGTCTCCAGCTTCAGAGATTTTTGCAGTTCGTTCCAGTCATTGGCAGCAGAGAACTGGAAGGAATGGTGGCCAAAGGAGGTGTTGGCTTTGGGGATGACCAGTGAGATATACCTGCTGGAGCGCAGACTACGGGTGGGTGTTGCTATGATAACCAGTGAGCTAAGATAAGACGGGGATTTGCCTAGCAGTGATTTATAGATGACCTGGAGCCAGTGGGTTTGGCGACGAATATGTAGTGACGGCCAGCCAACAAGAGCGTACAGGTCACAATGGTGGGGCTGAGGGGGGTCTGTAGCAAGCGGCAACAGTGAGATACTTATTTCTGGAAAGGTGGATTTTTAGAAGTAGAAGCTCAAACTGTTTGGGCACAGACCTGGATAGTACGATAGAGCTCTGCAGGCTATCTCTACAGTAGATTGCAACCCCACCCCCTTTGGCAGTTCTATCAAGACGGAAAATGTTGTAGTTGGGGATGGACATTTCTGAATTGTTGGTGGCCTTCCTAAGCCAGGATTCAGACACTGCTAGAACATCAGGGTTGGCGGAGTGTGCTAACGCAGTGAATAACTCAAACTTAGGGAGGAGGCTTCGGATGTTAACGTGCAAGAAACCAAGGCTTTTACGATTACAGAAGTCAACAAATGATAACGCCTGGGGAGTAGGAGTGATACTGGGGGCTACAGGGCCTGGGTTAACCTCTACATCACCAGAGGAACAGAGGAGGAGTAGAATAAGGATATGGCTAAAGGCTTTAAGTACTGGTCTTCTAGTGCGTTGGGTACAGAGAAAAAAAGGGGCAGGTTTCCGGGCGTTGTAGAATAGATTCAGGGCATTATGTACAGAAAAGGATATGGAAGGATATGAGTACAGTGGAGGTAAACCTAAGCGTTGGGTAACGATGAAAGAGATAGCATCACTGGAGGCACCGATTGAGTCGGTCTCCACGTGTATGGGGGGTGGGACAAAGGAGCTATCTAAGGCAGGTTTAGCTGGGCTGGGGGATCTACAGTGAAATAGTACAATAAGAAATAACCGAAACAGCAATAAGCAAGGCATATTGATATGGGAGAGAGGCATAAAGCAATCACAGGTGTAATTCGAGAGAGCTAAGACAACAGCTGGTAATGGCGACAAAGTTTGGGCTGAGGCTAAACATAAACAGGATGCGGTACTGTATAAAGGAACAGTCCAGCAGGCATCAGCTGTATAGCTGAGTTATCATAAGGTCCGGTGAACAGCAATAGGATAGTTCGGAGGTAGTTCGGGGGCTGCTATAGCACTAGCGAGCAAGAGGCCACGGCTAGCGTGTGCTAGCGGGCCGGGGCTAGCAGATCTTCGTGGTCGACGTCGTAATGGGAAGCCTGTTGTAACCACATCAGACGATTTCGTCGGCAGACCAGTCGTGTTGGATCGGCGGGGCTCCGTGTCAACACTAGGAGGTCCCGTCCGGTTGACAGAGAGGTAGATAGCCGGGAGATGGGCCTGGCTCAAGGCTAACTCAGGGCTGATTAGCCAACCACAAATGTCAATTTGGTTGCAGCTAGCTAGTAGCGATGAATCCGGTGTTAAAGGTTCAGTGATTCCGGCAGAAAAACGATATGTTCAGGGTCGATAACGCGCTGTGCAGACAGTGCAGACTGGCCGAATAATAGTCCAGGCTAGAGCTGGCTGGCTGGTAGGTAGTGCAGGCCATGGCCACGGACAATGGTGAAGACCGCTAACGGTGGCTAATAGCAAGTAGCTAGTTAGCTGGCTAGCGATGATCCGGTGTTAAGGTCCAGTGATTCAGTGGTTCCGGCAGAAAATCCGATATGCTCTGGCTCGTTAGCGCGCTGTGCAGACTGTGCAGACTGGCCGACAATTGTCCAGGCTAGAGCTGGCTGGTAGGTAGTGCAGGCCACAGCCACGGACAATGGTGAAGACCGCTAATGGTGGCTAATAGCAAGTAGCTAGTTAGCTGGCTAGTTTCAGCCAGAGGTTCTGGATAAAAATGTATGAAGAAACAACAGAATCCGTTCCACATTGGGTGAGGCGGGTTGCAGGAAAGTATATTTAGTTAAAGGATGGAAAGTGAGATTGAGAAATATATACAAAAAAGACAAAAAAACAAAAAACAGGCTATTTACATAAGGACACTACAGAAAACACGACCGCACTGCTATGCCATCTTGGATATAATAGGAGAACCTCTTTAAGTATACATCCTAAATGGTACCCTATTCCCTTTATAGTGCACTACTTTTGATTAGGGCCCTATGTGCTGCGTTTAATGATGTTATGTTGTTACCTCAGCAGACTCCCAGCCCACGAAGCTGCGTGGAGCGCTGTGCTTCTTGCTCTCACTCTTCTTGCTGGGGGGTGAAGGAGCCACGTCTTCAGACGGAGGAAACAGAGCCTCATGCTGTCTGATCATCACTGTCATCAACTTCTGGATCTGAGGAGTACCTGGAGGAGACACAGACAAGTATACAGTCTGTTAACACACAAACAGTTCTGAAAGGGAAACATATAATGAGGATAAATAAACAATTTGTTGATATCAAATCAAATCAAATCAAATGTTATTTGTCACATGCGCCGAATACAACAGGTGTAGACCTTACCGTGAAATGCTTACTTACAAGCCCTTAACCAACAATGCAGTTTACTAAATAAAATAAAGTAAAAAATAAAATAAAAAGTTACACAATAAAAAAACTATAACGAGGCTAAATACAGGGGGTACCGAGTCAATGTGCGGGGGTACAGGTTAGTCAAGGTAATTTGTAGATATACAGTGCATTAAACTGTATCTATGAGCCATTGCTTATGTATATTAATTTCATAATTAATCAAATAGTACATCATGATTTGTATTTATTCTAGGTCAGTAAGGTCAGTTGGTCATTGTGTCAAGCAGCAGCAGTTTGTGAAAAATCTAAGTATGATAAAAGCGTACTGCTGATCATGACAGTACTACCCTGTTACATTGTGCACTAAGAGGATCCTGACAGGCAGTGGTCTGGTCTCACCCTTCATCATAGTGATGGGGTCCTCGATCTGAGGCTTGAGCAGATTGATCCCAATGACCGTGGCCAGGTTTTCAACACACATCTTGTTCACCTTGGAGTTCTGCTGGACCTCAAATAAGAACCTGCAAAGAGAGGTTATGCAGCAAAGTCACTCACACACCAGAAACATTTTCGAATCAAACACAAAATGCTGTATGAGCAAGCTGTAGACTAAATATTACAGTGTAGTAATCAAATTGCTTTTCAAATGTTTCGCAAGGCGCTTCAAACTACAGGTTCTATGAATTGTAATTCAATCAATTACCCCCTTATCCCCCTGATCTTTGGTTGTGTGACTGTAAGCTCACCTGCATATGTAGCTGAGGAGGTTATAGTTGGGTCTAGGAAGGAGGGTGATCTGCTTCTCCAGTCTTTCACGACCCTGAGCAAAGAGAGAGTTAGAACATACATTGTGTAAGTCAAAACACTGATTCAGTTGGCCTACATAGGCTGCGTTTAAACAGACAGCCCAATTCAGATATATTTTTCACAAATTGGTCTTTTGACCAATCAGATCAGCTTTGAAAAAGATCTGAAGTGAAAAGATCTGGTGTGATTGGTCAAAATACCAATTATTGGAAAAAATATCAGAATTGGGCAGCCTGTCTAAATGCAGCCATATAGTAATTTTGGCACAATTGACAGAAATAGAGATACATTTCAAACGGTACCGAATTTTTTTTTTAATATTAATATTTGGCTATGGTCTTCATTGAGAGGAAGTCAAAACATTGAGTCAGTAGATACTCATTTTAGAACTGTTGATAGAAATAAGGCTAAATGACAAATTGTAGCCTGGAGAAAAGGTTTATTTATAAGAATATTAGCTAAATAATTAATTGAAGTAAATATTTGTTCCAATACAAGTTGATAGAAACACAAATTGTAGTGCAAAGGGTTTATTTATGACAATATTTGCTTAAAGTCTTCATTTAAGTAAATATGAGTTCCTACTGCAGCACTGTTGGGGTCCAGCATGGGGCTGCAGTCCAGGAAGTCTTGGTACTGTGTCCAAGGAACCACCGGCTCAGGCAGATCCCGTAGGTACAACTTGAACAACGACGCCACTGTGTGGACATCTGTGTCACTGCAGGGCACAAAACAGTCATAAACAGTGCATACTGTACATAGGCAAGCGCAGCCACACACACTACCGCACACACACATGCATGCACACACACACACACACACACACACACACAAACATACAGTCGTGCTGAGTGTATTGCTATTTTGTGTTGAATCCAGCTACAAAACAGTTTATCCCCGTTTTCATTCATTTTGTCACAATAGAGAGTTCAGTGTGGGCAGAAGGTTCTAATAAGACTGTTTCCTGTGATGTTGACTAATGTTGCACTCCTCTTCTCTTTCTACTTGGACAGGATGTGGTGTAAGCCACAGAGCACAGAGAGCAGAAGAAGTGTATTAGGCTTCTCTGCGCTATCATCCTGACTGCATCTCTCTCATCTCTCTGTGCAACTTTTAGGTAATTGGCAGATTTGAGTTTGTATAAAAAGGGTGTAATAATTATCTGTTTGTATGTTGGCACCCTTGAGCGTTCCTTCAAACGCTCTTGCGTAAGTTAGCTTAGCTCTGAGGCATCTCACCTTGGGAAGGAAGGTCTCTCTCCGGCGTTGAAAGCGTCCCTGAACTGTTTGACGGTGTTGTCTTGTCCTGGCAGTCTGAAGATGCCCTCCTCACTTAGTCCGTGTTCTCTGATGAACTCAGCACACTTCTGCACCAGGATGGGTACCATGTGGGGGCCGAACCGCTGCTCATAGGTCACCGTATCACCCAGGCTCTTGCCAAATATCGCTGAGGGGGTAAGAGAGCAGTTAGAGTAAGTCACAGCCCAGACTGGAGGACAATGTGGAGAATCAAAAACAGGGTTTCTCAAGTTGTGGGTCGAGGCTCGAGACCAACTGGTCTGGTGGGTAGCGGTGGCTAGCTCCTCATGCTTTGCGACCATGTAGGCCTACTGACCTGTGGCTAGAAACATTTGTATGGTTTATGTCATGGGCCCGAAGACAACTCCAAAAAGAGTTCTCGAACCAAAAGTCAAGGAAATAAGTTCAGATGTCACGCTAGAGCCCTGCATTTTTCCTGACCACGTGATCCAACCAGGAAAAATATATTATAGGTCCTAGTTATACATTGTTTTTCCTGGTCAGGTCCCTTGGTCAGGGAAAACTCCTGTCTCTAAATATGTTCACTAGGCTATCTGTACCTCCACTAGAGGGCGCTCCAACCACCCTGCGCAGCGTGCGGACCCACTCATCCATCTCACTGTGGGAGTTGGCCATGAGAATGTAGGGGCACCGCTCCCGATCACCACTGCTGCCTGGAATACACAGAGAGACAGAGAGGGTATGACTCTCCAACATACTGGGATACATCATACATAGATGGCTCTTTAATTCCTCTCTCAGAGGAGAGACGAGAGAGAGAGTGAGAAATGGAGAGACGGAGGGAGAGAGAGAGGGTGAAAGAGAGATAGAGAGATAAAGGGAAAAGGGGAAAGAGAGAGAGACAGAGAGAAAGAGACAGAGACAGTCTTCTGCTTACGCGGCATGATCTCAAAGAGGAATTTCCCTGGGTCATCTTGGTTCAGTGGGAGCTCATTGACTTTACTGAACCTCAGTTGGATCACTCCCTGCGGACAGAGGGACAGACAGACACTGACATCTTAGTAAAGAACACATATAGGCTACAGGAAACACAGGAAAGGACTTCAATAAAGATGGAAACATGCTAACTGAATATTGACAGCAGTAGTGTTGTTTGGATGCTTAAAGGGCTCTGAGTTTTTCCTAACCACATGACCAGATCAGGAAACGCCAGTTAAAGGATAGCTAGTGCCCAGACCTATCTGCCCTCCTCACCACATCATCTCTCACCTGGACAGTCCCCTCCTTTTCGTCTTTATGGTAGGTCAGCGTGCTCCCTCTCAGCACAAAGTAACGCAGCTGCCAGTTCTTCACGATGGACCTCTGTTTCCTCAGCCAGCCTGCCTTCAGCGGCATCTCCATGGACCTCGTGGTGGACCCGGGCGAGCCTGACCCAGGGTTGCCCTCTCCAGGCATCACACTCTTAGACCGCGCTGCAGCAGAGTGGAAACAAATACACCAGACCGTTAAAAACAGCCTTAAGAGACACTTTACTTAACACAGGCAGGATGTCAACAAGGTTCTCAACATCCGTCAAGTCAGGTCTTACTCTTTTATTGATTTGAATATGCATCAATCTGACATTTGCAGTAAAGAGTAGTCAGTGTGTGTGGCTGTGTGCAGGGCTGCAGGCTGAAAATTGATGAGTGTATTTTTGTCCCCCTTGTTTGAGGTGGCCTGGCAGGAAACAGCCCGCCTCAATCTGACCTGTCAAGCTTCCTGTTCAAGGTACATGCTATTGTAGATTCTAGCCATGATTGTTCAGTGGGTGGGAAGTAGTGAACTACAAATACACTGGGCCTTCAACAGTAAAGTGCACTAGAGGAAAGAGCAAATCAGGAACAATAATACAATATGGTCTCAACTCAGCCTGGTCTCATAGACTAGACGTAACATAGTAAATATTCAAATTAGTATGATATGTTATGTTTGGTATGGTTACATAACACAGATGGTTACTTAAGGCAAAAACAAAAGTAGGGTGGTTGGTCGGGGTGGATGAGAAGGCGTTTAACCCGAAAGTCTAGCAACCCAAAAGTTGCTAACTTTAGCCTGCTAGCTTTTGCTAATTCGTAACATATTGTATGTTTTACAAATTCGTAAAAAATATAATATGAATTGTAATTCGCAACACATCATACGAAATGGGTGATGAACATCCACAATTTAATACATACCATACGAAACGTAACATATTATACTAAATGGAGTGTCACGGATTTACGTACAGACTAATACAAAATGCTCTGAGACCAGGTTGCTCAACAAGGCCTAAATATAGACATGGTTGAGTCATTTGTCCATGTTTTAGTTTCTTTACCCTTTACTAAAAGGCCATCCATTGCTCAGCAACATCGTGACTGTCTTAGTCGTCTGTGTTAACATCGTGACTGTCTTAGTCGTCTGTGTTTGATGTCAGAGGAGACCATGAGAGAGAAAAAAATAAGCGTATGAAGAAAGGATGGAAATGGAGGTAAAGTTGTAGGCTACGTGTCACACCAATAGCGTTTGCCTGCCAGAGTACTTTGCGAACCCAGTGCAAACCAATTTTATATTTAGAATCTTGCGAAAAAGTCGGCAGACGTTAACTGCGCTCTCAAAGATCAGTAGATGAACTGGAGATCAGTAGATGAACTGGAGCTCAGTAGATGAACTAGAGATCAGTAGATGAACTGGAGATCCACATTCGGTGGAATGTGTGCGACCCAAAGTCAGTTGGGAACCCTGAGGGCCTTCTTTTTAATTTTTATTTCATATTTTCAAAAAAATGTATGCTCTTCAGATTGCATCGCTTCAGTTTGTGTTGGAAAGCTACGGGTTAATACTGAAGAGAAAAAAATATCTAATCAGGATTTTTCTTTGGTGGTCTCTGGGGAGAAAAATCTAGCTAGCTCAGCCAGCCATTGGCTAGGCCTTCAGAAGCTGGAGAGAAGGACTCTGCCATTCAATTGTATTAGACAGTGGAATGAACCAATCATATTTTGATTTGAAAAAAAAAAGTGAGGTTTTTATGAAGTCAGCTCTGCTCAACTTCACACCTGCAAGCTACGGTGAGTTCAAAAACATTTGGGGGCACAAGAGTAGACATTCAGCTTAACGAGCAGCAGGACAGAGGGACTATTTCTCACAACGATAAAGTCAGGCAGCACAGGGAGATTCTGGCCAAAGTAGGCTACGTGGCACAGAATGGAGAGAGAAAGCGACGGACGGAGTGACACGTAGGGTGGTACCATAGGTTGCCGGAGAGATTAGACTGATTGCAATTGAGAGCGTTCCGTCACTGGTTGTGTAATTCACTGTGACCTCCCAGACCAGATGAAAGAAAAGAAGAGAAGATGAACCTATATAAACAGGAAGCTACTGCATCATCGCTCAATGGGAGAAACGCTTTGAAGGCCCCTACCTAGAACTCAGACCCTTTGGTCAAAAGGTTCTGGACGAACCTCGGGCCCACACACAGTGGTGTATGAGACACCACACCCTCTGGAAAGATGGACACAGACCTTTGAGGAACTTTTCAACTAGACAGAGGACCTCCTAGAACCATTAGTCCCCATGGAACCAGAAAGAAACGTAGAAATTCTCAATCAAGCCCAGCTGTTTTACGCCAAGTTGAATAATGTTAAATTAATGAGGCTTGATTGAACTGTGCAGCACTCGCAGGATTATGAAGTTTCAAATTATCTCAATGATGTTCTGAAGAAAAAGTGAATGTTGAACCCCTATTTGCTATAGTGCACTACTTTTCACCAGAACCCTATGGGCCCTGGTCAAAAGCAGCGCACTGAATAGGGTGGTAACTTTAGCAATTCAAATGACAGAACACACTTGCCCCATTCAGTTGTGTAACTGTACATTTTAATTCTGTGTACATATTTCTTATGCCTAGCTATGGAATGCCATTGACTTTTATAGTAGTGTAGTGGTGTAAGGAAAAATACAGTAGTGATGTAGAGAAGTACATCAGGCCTTCTCACATGGTCTCTCTCTCTCTCTCCCTTTCTCTCCCACACACACACTAGTGGTGTGCGGGTCAGCTGTTAGTTCACCCACACCGTCCACAATTGCTAATAACCCATCTGCAATCGCCCGACTATATGTGATAAATTGAAAATCTGAGGCCCGCAACTGACCCTAACCCACTAATATAGAAAATGGCTGTAGGCCACAGTCAGAGACGGAGGAACGATTTTTTGACAGGGGGTGCAGATTTTTTGTTGTTGCCTGATTTAGATGTGTTTCCGCTTATAATTTCCGACATTTTGGTATGCTATTTGTTAGTCAACTTGTCTATAATTAGATACATGCAGCTTCTCTTCTGTCATATGTTGCCCTATAAGCCTAAATAAACCCTTGCTCACCAGAATAATGTCATAAATCGATAGAATGAATGCTTCAATATACTAGTTGACATCAGTAACAAAGATCTTTAGGGACCTGGGAGAAAATGTGCAAAATTTCCAAATGACATCAGTTTGACCAATTGTAAGGAAATAGAAAGCTGTGAATCCACCCAACAAGTTTCTGATAAGATTTCAGTTCGGCTTGGATGCATATTTTATATGGTTGAAATACTATCAGCTTTTATGATGCTGATAAAAATAGCAAGATGCTGAAATAAATAAATCATATTTCTCCACTCCTGTTCCCAAGTCCAAATTTAGCCTGCATTTGGTGTATCATTTTACAGCAAGAAATGCTTAATTCTGCAGGAGTTCGTATTAAGGCTATGTGAGTGGTTATAGACCTACAGTCAGTGTCAGACGTACGTGCCATAAGCCTATTTGAAGTCCCCGTCTTGTACTGTCGAATTTGTGTACCGCCTCACAATCATCACACACAACATAGGCACTGGTATCAACCTCTTTTACCACTTCACCAAATATTTCCCAAACATTACTTTTCTGGCCTCAATCAATGTTAACTTTTTCTGCCCGTTGGCGTGTGGTCTATTTGGCACGTGTACAGTTGGGCCCTAAAGCTTAGGCTTACGCACTAATGCCAGATAGCCTAAAATAATGAAAGAAAAACCTAAATGTACCATATAGATATAAATTGCACAAGAATTATACATTTATGGATTTTTTAAGTTATCGTTTTCTCTTTATTCAACCCGCCATCCACCCACCCACACACCTATTTCTATTGGATAGACCATATGGCTGAAGAGAAAATAGCCTAATTAATGAAAAAATTATCTAATCAACAATGACATCATTTGCAATTAACTCTGCAGCTCTTCCAACTACTGACTTTTTTCACAACTGCCACCACAAAGACATATTAGTAAAATAAAGAAAAGGCTATCAAAATATAAAGGATATTTCATGCTGAAACCCAACAGAAAAACCAAAGGTATTCATTAAGTTGATGGGTTCTATTTAGGATAATGTTTTACAGCTTTATCATTCCCTTTTTTATATTAAAATCAATTATTTTGTTATTTTATACATTTTACATGTTATGAAAATTCCATAAAATCCTTGAAAGTTTCCAAAATTCTGGTAGTATATTGGTAAACTTCCGAAGTTACCGGTAATATACCCTTCCTTTGCAACCCTACTCACAGCTACTGTTCTGGCATTTCATCAGCTTCCTGCTGAAAGCACCAAAGAGCACAGAGGAAATCAAAAACGTCTTACTGCCACTGGCGTAGCAGAAACCCCCACAGCTCTGAGGAGATTAGCTTAAAAAATTCAAAAGTTTCTCTCAGCCTCATGGTAAAATGTGTAGAATAGCATGAAATTAGCTATAAAACTACACATTTCTCTCTGCCCCATGGCAAAATGTGTAACAGCAACATTTTCTTTCAGCCTCATGGCAAAATGTGTAGAATAGCATGTGATTAGCTATAAAACTACACATTTTTCTCTTTGGCCCATGGCAAAATATGTAGAATTGCAGGAAGTTATCTGCTAATAATGTAATAACTTTAGCATTTATAATGTAATAAATGCTGACAATGTAATAAATTGCCAATAATGTAATAAATATGCAGAATGCATAACGTAATAACGTTTTGGCGCATAATGTAAGAGGGGAAGCCCTCTCCAAGACAGTTGACAACTCCACGGTGTCCCGCTCCCAGAGCGCAAAGAACCTTGGCGTGACCCTGGACATCAACCTGTGTTGTTCTCTGCAAACATCAAAGCAGTGACTTGCTCCTGCAGGTTCATGCTCTACAACATCGGTAGAGTACGACTGTACCTCACACAGGAAGCGGCGCAGGTCCTAATCCAGGCACTTGTCATCTCCCGTCAGGACTCCCTCAATTTGCTGTTGGCTGGGCTCCCCGCTTGTGCCATCAAACCCCTGTAATTTATCCAGAATGCTGCAGACCGCCTGGTGTTCAACCTTCCCAAGTTCTCCCATGTCAACCCGCTCCTCCGCACACTCCACTGGCTTCCAGTCGAAGCTCGCATTCATTACAAGACCATGGTACTTGCCTATGGAGCAGCAAGAGGAACTGCCCCCCCCTACCTTCAGCCTATGCTCAAACCCTACACCCCAACCCAAGCACTCCGTTCTGCCACCTCTGGTCTCTTGGCCAGCTCAGCCCAGTACAAGCTCTTCTCTGTCCTGGCACCCCAATGGTGTAACCAGCTTCCCCCTGAAGCTAGGACAGTCCCCCCCCCCCCCCCCCCCCCCACCACAGTAGTGAAGAAAATGTTAAATGAATATTACATTTATAAAGTGGATAAAACTAAAAAGGTTAATCAACAGTGTAATAACTTAAACCAATAGTGTAATAATAACCTAGAATCACTATTTTTCTTTAAAGGCATGCATATTAAGTGTCACAGACTTCAACACTTTCATTTGCATCCATTGCCACAACAGACTTGCACTTCCTTTCAAACATCCAGTGTCATCAGAGAGAAAAAATAACAACACTCCTCAATTTGAAGACACACCTTGCAGTCATGTGTAGCCAAATTCTAATGATCACAAAAATATTCAAGAAGAGTTTCACTCCTCCTTATCCCAGGATTGACCAGGCTACTTTGCCTTACAGAGTGGAGATCGAACCAGACTCATGTCAGACAGACAGACTCACTGATTCACTCACTCACTCACTCACACTTAACCCGTAGATGTGGTAAAGAGGTCAATCGAACTCGACCTAAACAATGGATTTGCCATGGAAACGCATTGGGGAAAGGGCCTTGGGGGAAATATTGTTGAGGTAAAGATCGCAGTATAATGCTTATATGGATGTCAACCCCAACACATGTTTCTGTCATCGTTACCAATCAACTGCATTACAGTTCAAAATGACTGACTACCACCACCAATTTCTGTATGCTAGCTATGCTAACCAGTTTATACGAATGGGAGTTAGCATTAGGCAGTCACTTCTTCTAAACCTGAAAAGGGACTACATGTTATGAAGCGAAAACAGCCAAATATATCAAAATCAGACTTAAGTAACCACATTGTGGGCCTGTTACAAAACACAAATCATGACGGATTTGACAAATATCTACTTATTTGTTGAACGTGCGCCAATCTGGTCAATGGACCATCTGCCATTGACTCATTTACCGCATCTATCGGTCCAAGGCCAAAACCTGTGTTTTTTTCCACTACTTTGATTTATCTGCCTTTACAGTCCTCTTATGAGCCTCACATATGGAAGTGTTACACCTTTTCTTTGGCAGGTCAAACAGTACTTCATGGCTCCATTTGACATATGTTCTGTAGATATGACAACATGTTGGGACTGTATTATCTGTAATATCTATGTGTGTCGGAATTCAAATGCCACGGTCTCCTCGTTTATGTCTGCTGGGAAAGATGAGTATAGCCCCTCCAACATTAGTCCACTTAATTAACTGTCCAGTTATAGTCCCTTAGTAACATCAAATAAGGATTCATAAATTGGTTTGGTGTGTAGTCAGGCGATTACTGAAGCATGACAGTTGATATGCATGAAAAAAAAGACAGTGAATTTAGTTGTTTTATTTTTTTATGGGTTGTTATTACATTATTGGTTCAAGTTATTACACTATTCAGGATACTGTTTATACCCACTTCATAATGTCTTAATTTACTGAATAAAGTATTGGCAATTTATTATATGGGGGGGGGGGGGGGGGGTGGCTTGCAAATCTGCGCTAAACCACTGCTTCCCAGCAATGCTGATGTGCATCCAGTAAAGCCTACTACATAAAACTGTTCATTGCAAATAGAAGCATCCACACTGTTTTCACTGACTCATGTTGATGACAACTGCGTTATAGGTGCACCACCCCATTTGTGATCAGGTGTATGATCCTACTGGAAGCCAATGCCCTGGACCACAAACACTGCTAATATAACCAAGTATAAGAAAAACAGAGCCACAGTCAACCTCATGTCACACCCACAGGTCCAGTCTCTTTACCTAGAGGCCTGTTACACACACATACTATACACTAGTGTACAATGCAACTGATCATAGAACAAACCTACTTACACAAATGCAATGACTTCTAAGAATAGCTTTATGTTCAGTTTAACAACCAGTAACTTACCTATTCTGGCGGTTTCAGCTTTGAGGGTGCTGAAGTCCCAGTTCCGAGGTAGCTTGAGAGACATTCTCCCTCCTTCATAGGAAATGTCAGTATCTCACTTCACAACACAAACGCACACACGCACTCACATACACACAGCACACACACATCCATTAAGGGTTTTGCTGTAGATCTCCAGTCTGTCTGTCACACTAAAACCTTTCGGTATCTGACTTCCTACTTCCTGTATAGCTATTAATCTTTCTTCTTGTCCCCTTCTACTTCTCTGTAGATATATGTTCTGCTATTCTAATAGTCCACTGCACTGTATGTACTCCCATCTCCACGTAGGTATAGCATTAAGTGCTCTATGATGGAAGGTTTCAAATGCCATACAATTCACAAGTGTCACTAAACCATTGATCTCCTTGCATTCTCTCTCAGGAGGAAGTGGGTTCGTTTCTTGGTTGCAGTCTTTTCAAGCTGTGGCAATGATGCTTACAGGCAACATGCAGCCAATGAATTCACAGACCCACATTTATATTTTCCTTTTATTGTCATCTAACATATGAACAGGGTATTTACGGAAAGGCGAAGCACATTTTCTGGCATTATCAAAAATGTACAAATTAAAAATGTTTCCTAAATCAAATACAATTTAACACAAATCATTGCACAATATACGATAATAAACAACATATAAATAATAAAATAGCAATATATATAATAGCAAAAGCACAACAACAAGAGTAGACCCACAGGATGACCGTATTGCGTGAACAGCCAAACATAGCAAATCTCCATACATTCCATAATGTCCTGGCTAGCTTGATAAGATTCCTAACATACTAAAATAGAACTGTGTAATAGGAAATTGCACAGTGGTAGCCTATTATGCAGAAAATAGGTCTGCTCAATATTATGATTAACCTATTGGTGAGGGAAATTCTAATTTCTGTAAAAGCAAATAGCTAAGGAGGAATAATGATCCCCATTTCCCCCATAAGTAGTTTCAAGTTAACCTTAGAAGATGGAATGTTATCGAACAGCAGTGATGCAGAAGGAATAATCTTGCTGCTTTTACATGAAAGAACAATACTGGAAGAGGCTCAATATAAGACCAAGGAGGACAACAACAAAAAATAAGTTATTTTAGTCTTTAGCTCACTCTAGTGGCAGCTATCCATAATACTGACACGGAACTGGCACAATACTGTTATTACCACCAATGAAGTCCAAGGAAAATGTACCTCCATTCTCACTGGTTGGTTTCCAATATTCCCCTGGTTGGCTTCCGACAACTTCTATCAATGCCTCTATCCTCTACTCATTATGAGACTTCACAATAGGTTCCCTCTCTTGAACGCAGCACACAGATACCACAGATAGTTTCTATACACCGACAATAACAGCCAATATCAGGAAATTCAAGACTAGCTAATGCACTAGATACCACAGCAATAAGAGAGAAAATAGTGACACACATACACTACTAGTCAAAAGTTTGGACACACCTAGTCATTCAAGGGTTTTTCTTTATTTTTACTATTTTCTTCATTGTAGAATAATAGTGAAGACATCAAAACTATGAAATAACACATATGGAATCATGTAGTAACCAAAAAAGTGTTAAACAAATTAAAATATATTTTATATTTGAGATTCTTCAAATAGCCACCCTTTGCCTTGATGACAGCTTTGCACACGCTTGGCCATTCTCTTAACCAGCTTCACCTGGAATACTTTTCCAACAGTCTTGAAGCAGTTCCCACATTTGCTTAGCACTTGTTTAATACTTTTTTGGTTACTACATGATTCCATATGTGTTATTTCAAAGTTTTGATGTCTTCACTATTATTCTACAATGTAGAAAATAGTAAAAATAATGAAAAAACCCTTGAATGAGTAGGTGTGTCCAAACTTTTGACCGGTACTGTATATTTTGAACAAAGTCTCTCCTCCAGTCCTACATTGCCTGAATATTTCTCTGAACATTAGCTAAGTAAATCTGTGAGTTATGTAAATGTGAAAACTGAAGAATATATAGATATAATTTCTAAACAGCTGGATTAGTATGATATAATAATATTACATTTACATACATTTTAGTCATTTAGCAGACGCTATTATCCAGAGCGACTTACAGTTAGTGAATACACATATATTTTTTTTTATACTGGCCCCCCGTGGGAATCGAACCCACAACCCTGGCGTTGCAAACACCATGCTCTATCAACTGAGCTACATCCCTGCCGGCCATTCCCTCCCCTACCCTGGACGACGCTGGGCCAATTGTGCGCCGCCCATGAGTCTCCCGGTCGCGGCCGGCTGCGACAGAGCCTGGATTCGAACCAGGTTCTCTAGTGGCACAGTAATAAAAATAAGCAAGGTAAGTTAAAGACTGACAGGATCTCAAATAATGATCACACAAAAAACTATAGGAAAAATTCATAACATGTATGTGCTGTATGTGCTTATGGAAGTAGGCATTTCAAGGAGTAGAGCTGCATGGTTTTAGGACTGTACAGATGTTTCGCTCTGTTATGTGGCCTTCCATATTAGGGTCATGCTTTTTGTCAATTTGACATCAAAATTATAATTAATTATTTTTAGCTAACCCTAACCCTGCCCTTTTCCTAACCTTAACCTAACCTGCTATGTTAATTCTCCTAATCTGCTGCGTAAATTCTTCTAATCTGCTACGAAATCAATTTTGACAAAAGCTGTATCCCGTCTAGACAAAACCCCATGTTAGTGGAGCTACATGGGATGGATGGTGAGGATGTGAAGAACAGAGAGATTTTTTTTATTATTTTTTTTATGATGATAATGGAGGTGCAGACAGTGCAGATTACCCAATCCCAAACATACCTCTATGGCTTTTTAGTGAACAGATTCCGTATTAACTCTACTCACTGTAAGTATAGGATCCTGCATGGACATTTCAAATCCTACATTGATACTTCATATTGCTTCATTTTCTACTGTTACATTCACAGAATAGATGGGTTAGCTATGATACTTAATCCTACATTAAAAACATTATTGGCAGAAACTGAGGTATCTTTTCATTATCGTTGTAGCTAATTATTGTTCAGGATCCAGGTGCATGAGCCTTGGATTTCAAGCATTTCACTACACCCGCAATAACATCTGCTAAATATGTGTATGCGACCAATAAAATTGTATTTCGATTGATAAAATAAGACGTAAGCTACTCCAAAAATCTAATTTCAATAATGTACCACGTTTTTATTTTATTATTTTATTTTATTTCACCTTTAATGGCCTAGTCAAAGTCCAGACCTAATCCCAATTGAGATGTTGTGGCAGGACTTGCTTGAAAACCCACACGTCACTGAGTTAAAGCAGTTCTGCATGGAAGAGTGGGCCAAAATTCCTCCACAGTGACGTGAGAGACTGATCAACAACTACAGGAAGCATTTGGTTGGCGTCATTGCAGCTAAAGGTGGCACAACCAGTTAGAGTGTAAGGGGGCAATTACTTTTTCACACAGGGGAATTGGGTGTTGCATAACTTTGTTTATGAAATAAATATGTAATTGTTGTGTTATTTGTTCACTTATGTTCCCTTTATCTAATATTAGGTTTTGGTTGAAGATCTGATAACATTCAGTATCACAAATATGCAAAAGTAGAGAAAATTAGAAAGGGGGCAAATACTTTTTCATAGCACTGTATATACAGTGGGGGAAAAAAGTATTTAGTCAGCCACCAATTGTGCAAGTTCTCCCACTTAAAAAGATGAGAGAGGCCTGTAATTTTCATCATAGGTACACGTCAACTATGACAGACAAAATGAGAAAAAAAAATCCAGAAAATCACATTGTAGGATTTTTAATGAATTTATTTGCAAATTATGGTGGAAAATAAGTATTTGGTCAATAACAAAAGTTTCTCAATACTTTGTTATATACCCTTTGTTGGCAATGACACAGGTCAAACGTTTTCTGTAAGTCTACACAAGGTTTTCACACACTGTTGCTGGTATTTTGGCACATTCCTCCATGCAGATCTCCTCTAGAGCAGTGATGTTTTGGGGCTGAGTGAAAACCTCCTTCCATCAGCAAGGGCATTGAAGATGAAATGTGGCTGGGTCTTTCAGCATGACAATGATTCCAAACACACCGCCCGGGCAATGAAGGAGTGGCTTCGTAAGAAGCATTTCAAGATCCTGGAGTGGCCTAGCCAGTCTCCAGATCTCAACCCCATAGAAAATCTTTGGAGGGAGTTGAAAGTCCGTGTTGCCCAGCGACAGCCCCAAAACATCACTGCTCTAGAGGAGATCTGCATGGAGGAATGGGCCAAAATACCAGCAACAGTGTGTGAAAACCTTGTGAAGACTTACAGAAAACGTTTGACCTGTGTCATTGCCAACAAAGGGTATATAACAAAGTATTGAGAAACTTGTTATTGACCAAATACTTATTTTCCACCATAATTTGCAACTAAATTCCTAAAAAATCCTACAATGTGATTTTCTGGATTTTTTTCCCTCAATTTGTCTGTCATAGTTGACGTGTACCTATGATGAAAATTACAGGCCTCTCTCATCTTTTTAAGTGGGAGAACTTGCACAATTGGTGGCTGACTAAATACTTTTTTCCCCCACTGTATATAACTCTGGTGGCAGTTATCCACCGTGAACTGAAAGGACCGTTCACAGATCGACATCTATGATAACGGAACTTGATTGGCAAATAAATAACCCAAATAACCACCGCTAAAACCCTAACGTCCAACTCCCACACAAAAAGGAGATCGCAATAGTTTTACATTAACTTCTTGCATTAAGTTTAACATTAAGGCAGACAACTGTGTAGTAGAATATCTGAAATGGCAATCAAATATATTGTGAAATACATTCCATTTTACACTTTTAAACATGTATTCTATTTCTCTCTAGGGAATGTTTTACCCTTAACCTCCATTTTGTAACACTAATGACATTCAATAATCCTGTCAAATCCATAGTGGTGTTTTGATCCCAATTTAGGCAATCCACTTCCTAGAATGGTGTTGCAGGAATGGTGTTGCAGGACGCCAACTGGCGGCTCGCGGGCCGAATTTGTCCCACGGGCTATTTTATTTGCTCCCCCCATAAAAAGGTTATAGCAAAAAATATTATATTTTTTTGGGGGGGAGGGATAAGACTAAATACACCAGCAAATCTGTGATTTTAATTTAGGAAATATATGTGAGCGTATACAAAAGTAAGCAAGGTTTTATGTTATTACGTTTTAGTCAAATATTATATCTGCTTGGGTTTCCTGCGGTCAATTTGCAGTCTACAAATTATTTGTAATTATCTTCAGGCCCCCTGACCATCCGCTCAAGAAATATAGGGCCGTGACTGAATCTTGGTGATGATGCCAGGGCCCATAGGGTACCATTTGGGACGCACAACATGGTAACAAAAACAAAGCCAGAAACACACAGGTATGCAGCATGACGTGCCAATAGCAGAGTGAACCTCTACCGGGTAAAATGCACATTGACAATACAACACAGGGATACAATGGAAGATTTCAATGTAAAAACTCAACCACAAATATTATAAATAAAAACAATTATTACAATGAATGAAGCAAATAAAACAGAGGCATGGTGGTGGATGATGAGGACGATACAGCAGTGCATTAAAACACAAATAAAATATATGTACCATAAAATATTCACACACATGTACACCTGACCTCATCGTGGTACACAGATAAAGTGGCATCACTGTGTTGTAAATACTATGGCTGACATGAGAAAAAAACAACCTTTGGTACATTTACTCACAGATTCAACCTGAAACACTGAGGTTTAGGACACACTTTCTTGCATACTATATACACACACACTGTCTGTCACACACTCACTCCCTCTCAGTCAAACACTCACTCTCTCTCTTTCTCAGTCACACACTCACTCTCTCTCTCTCAGTTACACACTCACTCTCTCAATTTCTCAGTCACACACTCACTCTCTCTCTCTCAGTTACACACTCACTCTCTCTCAGTCACACACACACAGAGACACACACACACATATACTATCTCACAGTCACACACAGAAAATGGAATAACCCAAAGGATTGAGTTACTTTCTCTCTGATGTGTTCTTGCTCATACGAGCACCACACTTCTTCTCCCACACCTCCAGGGCTTTCTGGTGCCGGGGGCTGCCCTCCTCTCTGTGTCCCCAGTAAGTTGACCTGGCCCTGGGCGGCTCGCCATGGTGGCCCTAGGCTGCCTCCACCAGCAGACCCCTCTCTGTCAGGTGGCTCTTTAGGGAGTTGAAGATGTTGAGCTGCTGGTCCAGGCGCAGGGCTAAAAGCTGCTGGACCACCTTGGCAGGGTTAGGGCCCCTGGAGAGAGAGAAGATTACACAATGGATTACAGATACACATACAGGGTGACATTCTGACAGCACAAAGACACCTCCACAAAATGCCTGGTTAGTCAATTTGGTTGAGGCTGTAGCTCATGTCTTTATGCAATAGGTGGAACATTGCTGGCGTTTGGGCCCATGGGAGAGAGAAGATTACTAACTTTAAGTCACTCTGGATAAGAGTGTCTGCTAAATGACTAGAATAACAATATTTAAAAAGTTAAATGAATCCCATACAGTAACAACCTTCTCTATAATCACTTCCTCTTTAATAATACGTTATTTTCATAAATCAACACATGATTGTCAGCCAAAAGCAGTTAAGACTGTGGCTCCTCTCTCTCTATGCACCACTGACTACTCTCTCTATAAACGACGGGGCGTTCTAGTTAGTTACCTGATGAAGCTGGCGATGTAGACATTGACGAACGTGGCCATGAGGTACTGGCAGTCGAAGCGGTCCATGATGCCACCGTGACCGGGGATGGTGTTGGCAAAGTCCTGGAACGACAACAAAAATATAAATCTTGTGCTTCTCTCCGTGGGCTGATATTTCTGCTCCCCTGGACTGCCGTGCAGCTTAGAGGGAACATTGATAATGAGCACTGCCAACTGAGAGGCCACTCAATTCTAGTGAGTCCACCGGGCCCAGTGATAACATTAGTATTTTCTCCTCACACCCACCTTGATCTTAAAGGCCCTCTTGAAGCCGCTGGCAAAGAAACCTCCGAAGGGTCCCATGAGGGAGGCAAAGGCAGACAGGGAGATGCTGTGAATCTGGAATGGGTAGAGGCGCACCGTGGGCTGGAGAGAGAGAGAGAAAGAGAGAGAGAGTGAAGGGGAAGGAGAGGGAGCGAGAGAGAGAGAGAGAGGATGACTACAGTCTCACATACGGTCAAACAGTTTCTTCACAAAGAGGAGAAACAATGACACAAGGATTTAGGACATCAAAGCAGATGTCCAGACATAGACCAGCCAGAGATCAGAAACAGAGACCAGCCAGCCAGCCAGAGATCAGAAACAGAGACCAGCCAGCCAGCCAGAGATCAGAAAGAGAGACCAGCCAGCCAGAGATCAGAAACAGAGACCAGCCAACCAGCCAGAGATCAGAAACAGAGACCAGCCAGCCAGAGATCAGAAACAGAGACCAGCCAGCCAGCCAGAGATCAGAAACAGAGACCAGCCAGCCAGCCAGAGATCAGAAACAGAGACCAGCCAGCCAGCCAGAGATCAGAAACCAGCCAGCCAGCCAGAGTTCAGAAACAGAGACCAGCCAGCCAGAAATCAAAAACAGAGACTCGACAGTCAGAGATCAGAAATCCGTCAGCTAGCCAGAGATCAGAAACAGAGACCCGCCAGCCAGCCAGAGATCAGAAACAGAGACCCGCCAGCCAGCCTGCGATCAGCTTGGCTCGGCTTCAGTTAAGGTTCGCTCAAAATCACGAACGTAAAATGAATAATTTCGTGCTTCAGTTGCACTTCTCCACTCTGATTAAATACACTATATATACAAAAGTCTGTGGACACGCCTTCAAATTAGTGGATTTGGTTATTTCAACCACACCGGTTGCTGACAGGTGTATAAAATTGAGCACACAGCCATGCAATCGACATACAAAAACATTGGCAGTAGAATGGCCTTACTGAAGAGCTCAGTGACTTTCAAAGTGGCACCATCATAGGATGCCACCTTTCCAACAAGTCAGTTTGTCAAATTTCTGCCCTGCTAGAGCTGCCCCGGTTAACTGTAAATGCTGTTATTGTGAAGTGGAAACGTCTAGGAGCATCAGCAACTCACCTGTGAAATGGTAGGCCAAACAAGCTCACAGAACGGGACCGCCGAGTGCTGAAGCGCATAGCGCAAAAAATTGTCTGTCCTCGGTTACAACACTCACTATTGAGTTCCAAACTGCCTCTGGAAGCAACGTCAGCACAAGAACTGTTCCACGGGAACTTCATGAAATGGGTTTCCATGGCCGAGCAGCCATGTGCAATGCCAAGCGTCGGCTGGAGTGGTGTAAAGCTCACCGCCATTGGACTCTGGAGCAGTGGAAATGCGTTCTCTGGAGTGATGAATCACGCTTCTGGCAGTCTGACGGACTAATCTGGGTTTGGAGGATGCCAGGAGAAAGCTACCTGCCCGAATGCATAGTGCATAGTGTAAAGTTTGGGTGAGGAGGAATAATGGTCTGGGGCTGTTTTTCATGGTTCGGGCTAGGCCCCTTAGTTCCAGTGAAAGGAAATCTTAACGCTACAGAATACAATGACATTCTACATGTGCTTCCAACTTTGTGGCACCAGTTTGGGGAAGGCCCTTTCTTGTTTCAGCATGACAATGCACCCGAGCACAAAGCGAGGTCCATACGGAAATTGTTTTGGATATCGGTGTGGAAGTACTTGACTGGCCTGCACAGACTCCGGACCTCAACCCCATCGAACACCTTTGGGATGAATTGGAACGCCGACTGCGAGCCAGGCCTTCTCGCCCAACATCAGTGCCCAACCTCACTAATGCTCGTGGCTGAATGGAAGCAAGTCCCTACAGCAATGTTCCAACATCTAGCGGAAAGCCATCGCAGAAGAGTGGAGGCTGTTATAGCAGCAAAGGGGGGACCATGATTTTGGAATGAGATGTTTGACGAGCAGACTTTTGGTCATGTAGTGTATATTTGCTAGAATCATTGGCTCACGAGACAGCGCTCTGACCGATGTGTAGGCTACGTTTCTACAGTACTTTCCACAGGTGTAGTTCTTCTCCAGTAGCAAGTTAAAATGCAAAACATTAGGAAATGTACAGTGCATTTGGAAAGTATTCAGACCCCATGACTTTTTCCACATTTTGTTACGTTACAGCCTTATTCTAAAATTGATCAAATTGTTTTCGTTCCTCATCAATCTACACACAATACCCCATAATGACAAAGCAAAAACAGGTTTTTATAATTTTTTACAAATGTATAAAAAAAAAAAAACGGAAATATCACATTTACATAAGTATTCAGACCCTTTACTCAATACTTTGTTGAAGCACCTTTGGCAGGGATTACAGCCTCGAGTCTTCTTGGGTATGACGCTACAAGCTTGGCACACCTGTATTTGGGGAGTTTCTCACATTCTTCTCTGCAGATCCTATCAAGCTCTCTCAGGTTTGATGGGAAGTGTCGCTGCACAGTTATCTTCAGGTCTCTCCAGAGATGTTAGATCGGTTTCAGGTCCGGGCTCTGGCTGGGCCACTCAAGGACATTCAGAGACTTGTCCCGAAGCCACTCCTGCATTGTCTTGGCTGTGTGCTTAGGGTCATTGTCCTATTGGAAGGTGAATCTTCACCCCAGTCTGAGGTCCTGAGCACTCTGGAGCAGGTTTTCATCAAGGATCTCTCTGTACTTTGCTCCATTCATCTTTCCCTCAATCCTGACTAGTGCCTTTTGCATTTTGGCAAACTCCAAGCGGGCTTTCATGTGCCTTTTACTGAGGAGTGGTTTCCATCTGACCACTCTACCATAAAGGCCTGATTGGTGGAGCGCTGCAGAGATGGTTGTCCTTCTGGAAGGTTCTCCCATCTCCACAGAGGAACTCTGGAGCTCTGTCAGAGTGACCATCGGGTTCTTGGTCACCTCCCTGACCAAGGCCCTTCTCCCCTGATTGCTAAGTTTGGCTGGGCAGCCAGCTCTAGGAAGAGTCTTGGTGGTTCCAAACTTCTTCCATTTAAGAATGATGGAGGCCACTGTGTTGTTGGGGATCTTCAATGCAGCAGAAATGTTTTGGTACCCTTCCCCAGATCTGTGCCTCGAAACAATCCTGTCTCCGAGCTCTACGGACAGTTCCTTCGACCTCATGGCTTGGTTTATGTTCTGACATGCACTGTCAACTGTTCGATATAGCCATCTGTAGCTCGCCAATAATAAAACAAAATCGGATTGCTCAAATACAAATAGCATGACAATTATGTGTGTAGTCTTCAATGGTTTTCAAAGGTAGACTGCGACTGAGCAGGTAAATGTTGAACAGGAAGGCAAAGATGTGTTAATGTCGGACCCTGCACGCGAAAATAAATAAATGAATGTGCCAGAAAACAATAGGCTAAATGGGATTTCGACTCATCGTTACCACATTATATGTGATGCACAAATTCACCCACATTATATGGGACGTGCAAATTCATGCTCTCTCCCTCCGTGTAGAGAAACATACGCACCGGTACCGAGAGGCGGGACATACAGCAGACGGTCAAACCAGCAATGTTTCCCTGTCATCACTCACTTTGTGACTGACAGGATGCCTGTCCTATCAATAGATCGCTAGAAGATGCATTTAGTTTATTTTAGAAGGAGAGGGCTCAGCAGACTTTATTTTTCCGTGATATCCAATTGTGATCCAATTACGATCTTGTCTCATCACTGCAACTCCCCAACGGGCTCGGGAGAGGCGAAGGTCGAGTCATGCGTCCTCCGAAACATGACCCGCCAAACCGCGCCTCTTAAACCGGAAGCCAGCCGCACCAATGTGTCGGACAAAACACTGTTCAACTGACGACCAGTCTGCAGGCGCCCCGGCCCACCACAAGAAGTCGCTAGAGCGCGATGAGCCAAGTAAAGCCCCCCCCGGCCAAACCCTCCCCTAACCCGGACGACGCTGGGCCAATTGTGCGCCGCCCTATGGGACTCCCGGTCACGGCCGGTTGTGACAGCCTGGGATCTAACCCGGGTCTGTAGTGACGCCTCAAGCACTGCGATGCAGTGCCTTAGACCGTTGCGCCACTCGGTAGGCTTTTTTCTAACTAGAGAATTGAAAACGTGCGTAGTTAATTTAAGTGGAAAAAGTACTCAGCTGAAAATTACTCTGTAATCAGCTGTATATTTTCCACAACCGGCGCTAGTGGAAAATATTGTCAGAGATCAGAAACAGAGACCCGCCAACCAGACTGAGATCAGAAACAGAGACCCTCCAGCCAGAGATCAGAAACAGAGACCCGCCAGCCAGACAGAGATCACAAACCCGCCAGCCAGCGATCAGAAACAGAGACCCGCCAGCCAGAGATCAGAAACAGAGACCTGCCAGCCAGAGGCAGAGACCCGTCAGCCAGCCAGCAAGCGATCAGAAACACACCTGCCATCCAGCCAGCCAGAAAGACTGATCAGAAACCTGCCAGCCAGCGATCAGAAACAGAGACCCGCCAGCCAGAGAGAGATCAGAGAACAGCCAGCCAGCGATCAATCAGAAACAGACCCGCCAGCCAGCCAGAAAGACAGACATCAGATACAGAGACCCGCCAGCCAGCCACACAATCAAACAGAGGGGACAGGTCAGGCTCACCCGTCCAGTGAAGGACTCGAGGGAGGCCGGCAGGGCATAGTCCTGCAGCTGGAACAGATCAGAGGGTACACAGTCCACCTCAAAACTGTTATGGTCGCTGTTGAACTCCACTGGACACACAAAGAAGCTGTAGCCCGCCATCACATAGGACAACTGGAGAGAGAGAGAGAGAGAGAGAGAGAGAGAGAGAGAGAGAGAGAGAGAGAGAGGGAGAGAGGGAGAGAGGCAGATAATAAGATAATAGGACTTGTGGGGAATTTGAATAGAAACTTTTGCAGTTAGTTATGGCAATGGTCATGTCTTACCAGGATCCCAAACACAACAGTAGAAAAGAATCCGCCGATGAAGCCTTCCCAGGTCTTCTTAGGAGACAGCTGTAGAGAACACAATCAGGACGTTGACACAGTACAGGGTGTTACTAATGGTATCCCTTGTACCAAATATCAAATGAATGATCCAAACTTCAGAAAATGCTACATACAGTAGTTGTGTAACAGTCTTCCTAACCTTAATGAGTGGCGTACGTCCAAAGAAGAAGCCAAACATGTAGGCCATGATGTCATTGCAGATCACACAGGAGATGGGCACGATGAACCTAGACAGAGAAGGAGAGAGGAACTGGTATCAACACCTGGGCTGTATTCAGTGGGGTGTTGTACATAGATATGTTGTGCATAGAGCAGACATTAGCATTTACTCTACAAGAGACAGAGCATGTCTCTTCAGCACAGTCCATTTCTATCTGAACGTTCTGTAATGTTGTTGACTCCTGAATAAGCCCCTGATGTAGACCACCCTAATGCACTCATAATTTGCATCACATGGTTGTAGGGCAGGTTGTAATTACATCAGATAATAGACTTTTCAACCTGCAGTCAGTCCTCCCATTGTACAGCATGGAAACAGTGGGCTGAGTGAGTAGACACTCCCATGCATTAACCTCTGACAGAATAGATCCACTGTGTGTGTCCCAAATTACACCCTATTCCCTATATAGTATACTACTTTTGACCATGGTCCGTAGGGCACTGGTCAAAAGTAGTGCACTATATAGGGAATAGAGTGTCATTTAGGTCACAACCAATGTCTGACTGAATTTGCCCTCTGATTGAATTTGAGTGAGTGAGTGCGTGCAAGTGAGTGAGCGACAGCGACAGACATTTCTTACCAGATCATTCCCTCAAACAGGTTGTGGATGATGAGGTGGGACTGGGTCACTACGATCAGCAGAGTTACATGAGTCCAGCCAAACTGACAGGAAGGAAGGAAATTCATTTTCAGACAGCTTAAATTGTCCCAACATTTAAAAAAAGTGATATCAAGGAACATAGCTACCCCAAAATGGACAGAAAACACTTAAATAACTGTGGTATATTTAAGTAATAAGTCCCAAGGGGGTGTGGTATATGGCCAATGCAACGCGGCGTGCCTGGATACAGCCTTTAGCCGTGGAATATTGGCCATACACCACAAACCCTTGAGGTGCCTTATTGCTATTATAAACTGGTTACCAATGTAATTAGAAAAGTAAATAGTATTTTTTTGTCATACCCGTGGTATACAGTCTGATATAACACAGCTTTTAGCCAATCAGCATTCAGGGCTCATTAGCACTATTTAATTACTCATAGCACTATTTGTTTATATTTTAGCATTAATGCTGTAATTGGCATTTGGCACAGAGCAAGCCTTACGGATAACTTGGTCATCATTGCCCTGTTTTCTTTGCAACAACACAAACATATCCTTGAGGAGTGCTGAGCCCAGTCAGTGTGACATTTTGTCCATAACACTGAGTAGATGAGTTATACTGCAGTATGCAGTGCTCTCAGTGATAGATGGGTTACTGCAGTATGCAGTGCTCTCAGTGATAGATGTGTTACTGCAGTATGCAGAGCTCTCAGTGATAGATGGGTTACTGCAGTATTCGGAGCTCTCAGTGATAGATGTGTTACTGCAGTATGCGGGGCTCACAGTGATAGATGTGTTACTGCAGTATGCAGAGCTCTCAGTGATAGATGTGTTACTGCAGTATGCGGGGCTCACAGTGATAGATGTGTTACTGCAGTATGCAGAGCTCTCAGTGATAGATGGGTTACTGCAGTATTCGGAGCTCTCAGTGATAGATGTGTTACTGCAGTATGCGGGGCTCACAGTGATAGATGTGTTACTGCAGTATGCAGAGCTCTCAGTGATAGATGGGTTACTGCAGTATGCAGAGCTCTCAGTGATAGATGTGTTACTGCAGTATGCAGAGCTCTCAGTGATAGATGTGTTACTGCAGTATGCAGAGCTCTCAGTGATAGATGTGTTACTGCAGTATGCAGAGCTCTCAGTGATAGATGTGTTACTGCAGTATGCGGGGCTCACAGTGATAGATGTGTTACTGCAGTATGCGGGGCTCACAGTGATAGATGTGTTACTGCAGTATGCAGAGCTCTCAGTGATAGATGTGTTACTGCAGTATGTTTCCTAGCAGCGCTCAGCAATGTCACTGCCCTACATGGTCAATCCGGAGCCCAGAACAGAGCCACAGACGGTCTGTGTGTGTGTGTGTGTGTGTGTGTGTGTGTGTGTGTGTGTGTGTGTGTGTGTGTGTGTGTGTGTGTGTGTGTGTGTGTGTGTGTGTATGTGTGTATGTGTGTGTGTGTGTGTGTGTGTGTGTGTGTGTGTGTGTGTGTGTGTGTGTGTGTATGTGTGTATGTGTGTGTGTGTGTGTGTGTGTGTGTGTGTGTGTGTGTGTGTGTGTGTGTGTGTGTGTGTGTGTGTGTTTGACAGAGGCAGCAGCAGCAGATGGATGAAGCCCCTGGCCCTATATCCTGGAGCGGACCCAGATCACTGCTGGAGGGATTCCATGTTTCTGGGCCAGGCCCCACCAATAATGTAGTAGCAGCCCAGAGGGCTCATATAATACAGTACACACACACTATGCTATGCAACACACACACACACACACACACACACACACACACACACACATACCATATAGAACTGCAGGCGATAGTGTTTCTTCAACAGGCTCAGCACGAACATGCAGAAACCTGCATAACACAGAACAGAGGAAACAAGTCAACAAAGAGTAAATCCATTTCAATTCAATCCCTTTTTCACAGCACCCCTTTTGATTTGAACGAAACCTTCCATGCATATCTGCCCATTGTAGAAGTGGTCAGAAAGTGAAAGTCACTTTCTGACCACTTCTTCCATGGGTAAACATGTATGAAAACTTTAATTTAAATCAAAAGGGATGCTGTCAAAAAGTGATTGAATTCAAATGGATTTACCCAAAAGCATTTTTGGGTCAGACTGTTTTGAGTAGCTATTATTGTCATTCTTTGTTTTCAAACTGAGGACCAGCAACTGTGTTGTGTTCAATCTCTAGTGACACATAAATGCCGATTTGGTTCTGGGTTCCGAGGTTAAAAGCCTGCTAAAGTCAGTAACAGATAAAAACACATTCACATGAATGTGCTGCATGTATCTCTTGATTTCTTACACTTCCAAGAATTATATAAATCCCCAAGGCTGTATCAAAGCAGAGTAAGAAGACACCCTTCTGATTAAGATGCTTTTATCGAATCTAACAAATTAGATTGAGCAGTCAGGCCAATGTGACCATAATTCAGTTAGGACAATTTGGACACTGGAACATTTCCATATCCATCCAATTCACATCAATTTGTTACATAGGCTTTATCTGAGCAGAACAATGCTAGCCTGGTACCAGATTAGTTTGTGCTGTCTTGCCAACTTCTATGGTCATTGTAGTCACTGTATTATACTTATGCTAAATTTTTTATTATATTCTACTGAGCCATTTTTTTAAATGTTCCTATTCTTATCTTTTAATATTTCTTATTGTTGTTGCATTGTCGAGAAGGAACCTGCAATTGAACATTTCGTTGGACGGTGTATACCATGTGCATCCCGCACATACAGTACCGGTCAAAGGTTTTAGAACACCTACTCATTCAAGGGTTTTTCTTTATTTTTTTTACTATTTTCTACATTGTAGAATAATAGTGAAGACATCAAAACTATGAAATAACACATATGGAATCATGTATTAACCAAAAAAGTGTTAAACAAATCAAAATATATTTTCAAATAGCCACCCTTTGCCTTGATGACAGCTTTGCACACTCTTGGAATTCTCTCAACCAGCTTCACCTGGAATGTTTTTCCAACAGTTGAAGGAGTTCCCACATATGCTGAGCACTTGTTGGCTGCTTTTCCTTCACTCTGCGGTCCGACTCATCCCAAACCATCTCAATTTGGTTTGATTATTGGGAGATTGTGGAGGCCAGGTCATCTGATGCAGCACTCCATCACTCTCCTTCTTGGTAAAATAGCCCTTACACAGCCTGGAGGTGTGTTGGGTCATTGTCCTGTTGAAAAACAAATGATAGTCCCACTAAGCTCAAACCAGATGGGATGGCGTATCGCTGCAGAATGCTGTGGTAGCCATGCTGGTTAAGTGTGCCTTGAATTCTAAATAAATCACAGACAGTGTCACCAGCAAAGCACCCCCACACCATAACACCTCCTCCTCCATGCTTTACAGTGGGAAATACACATGCAGAGATCATCCGTTCACCCACACCGCGTCTCACAAAGACATGACTGTTGGAACCAAAAATCTCAAATTTGGACTCCAGACCAAAGGACAAATTTCCACCGGTCTAATGTCCATTGCTCGTGTTTCTTGGCCCAAGCAGGTCTCTTCTTCTTATTGGTGTCCTTTAGTAGTGGTTTCTTTGCAGCAATTCGACCATGAAGGCCTGATTGACACAGTCTCCTCTGAACAGTTGATGTTGAGATGTGTCTGTTACTTGAACTCTGTGAAGCATTTATTTGGGCTGCAATTTCTGAGGCTGGTAACTCTAATGAACTTATCCTCTGCAGAAGAGGTAACTCTGGGTCTTCCATTCCTGTGGCAGTCCTCATGAGAGCCAGTTTCATCATAGTGCTTGATGGTTTTTGCTACTGCACTTGAAGGAACGTTCAAAGTTCTTGAAATGTTACGTATTGACTGACCTTCATGTCTTAAAGTAATGATGGTCTGTCGTTTCTCTTTGCTTATTTGAGCTGTTCTTGCCATAATATGGACTTGGAATAGGGCTATAATATGGAATAGGGCTATCTTCTGTATACCCCCCTACCTTGTCACAACACAACTGATTGGCTCAAATGCATTAAGAAGGAAAGAAATTCCACAAATTAACTTTTAACAAGGCACACCTGTTAATTGAAATGCATTCCAGGTGACTACCTCATGAAGCTGGTTGAGAGAATGAAAAGAGTGTGCAAAGCAGTCATCAAGGCAAAGGGTGGCTATTTGAAGAATCTCAAATATAAAATATATTTTGACTTGTTTAACACTTTTGGTTACTACATGATTCCATATGTGTTATTTCATAGTTTTGTTGTCTTCACTATTATTCTACAATGTAGAAAATAGTAAAAATAAAGAAAAACCCTTGAATGAGTAGGTGTTCTAAAACTTTTGAACATTTACATTTTAGCAGACGCGCTTATCCAGAGTGACTTACAGTTAGTGAGTGCATACATTATTTTTTTATTTTTCATACCCCCCGTGGGAATCGAACCCACAACCCTGGCGTTGCAAACGCCATGCTCTACCAACTGAGCTACATTTACATTTACATTTTAGTCATTTAGCAGACGCTCTTATCCAGAGCGACTTACAGTTAGTGAATACATTTTTTTTTTTATATACTGGCCCCCCGTGGGAATCGAACCCACAACCCTGGCGTTGCAAACGCCATGCTCTATCAACTGAGCTACATCCCTGCCGGCCATTCCCTCCCCTACCCTGGGCCAATTGTGCGCCGCCCATGAGTCTCCCGGTCGCGGCCGGCTGCGACAGAGCCTGGATTCGAACCAGGATCTCTAGTGGCACAGTTACCTCTGCGATGCAGTGCCTTAGACCACTGCACCACTATATCCCTGCCGGCCATTCCCTCCCCTACCCTGGACGACGCTGGGCCAACTGTGCACCGCCACATGGGTCTCCCAGTCGCGGCCGGCTACGACAGAGCCTGGATTCGAACCAGGATCTCTAGTGGCACAGCTAACACTGCGATGCAGTGCCTTAGACCACTGCGCCACTTGGGAGGCCTGTGTACGACTAACGGTAGTGTACGACTAATAAAACTTGAAACTTGGCGTGACAAACAGATCTGGAACCAGGCTAGAACAAGGCTAGAACAAAGCACACAGTGTTCTGACTACTTATAGATTCTGTGAAACTCAGCTCCTTCTACATATCTGTCAGTGGGGAGATGGCCCTATTACCTTAAAAGAGATGGCCTTATTACCTTAAAAGAGATGGCCTTATTACCTTAAAAGAGATGGCCCTATTACCTTAAAAGAGATGGCCCTATTACCTTAAAAGAGATGGCCTTATTACCTTAAAAGAGATGGCCCTATTACCTTAAAAGAGATGGCCCTATTACCTTAAAAGTGATGGCCCTATTACCTTAAAAGAGATGGCCCTATTACCTTAAAAGCCTTTCCCTGCCAACACTTCTACAGTAAACAACCTGGCCGTGTTTTTAAATATATCCAAAGGGAGGTGTGGACGGGTATTAACTTTCCTCTTCCACCTTGAGCCACAGAGTCGAGGTGTGATCATGCAGTCACACAGAAAAAGCAGACGTTAGCGAGCGCTAACTTCACCACATCCTGCTGCCATTAACTGCCACTGCTGCACTGGCTGACTGAAAGAGGGAGGGAAGTGGGGCAGAGTGGAGTTTCCCTCTGAAGCTTTTATCATTTTTTAAACTTGTACCAAACCCATAGTCAGGTAAAAACTGATTAAAAATGAAGAAGCTCCAACAGCAATACTAAACGTTCAAAAGAGGACTCCCCTTTCGCCCTCACTCACTCACTCGCTCTCCCTGGCTCTGTCTCACTCTCAATACTCTAAAATGTCTTCTTTATCACCAACAGGGAAAATAACTAGATCGGTTTCCATCTGTCCTTGCCAGATCAGTGATCATGAAGGAAAAGACATGAAAAAAGGAAGGAAGTTAGAACTTTTGAGACAGCCGGCATCTCACCTGTGAGGTACAGAGCGAAGGAGATGAGGCGGTGGTATTTGCTGAGGATGCGCAGCGGCTCCTCCCTCTGCACCAGATTAAAGAAGTAGTCTGTCACCGTCTCTCCGTAGAAGAAGTAGTTTACACAGAGCAGGAAGTACCTGACAAGGGAGGAGGAGAGGAGGGGAGGGAGGAGGAGAGGAGGGGAGGGTGAGGAGGAGGAGGGGAGGGAGAGAAGGAGGGAGAGGAGGAAGAGGAGAGGGGCAATGGGTGAGGTCAGAACTGTTACAATACAGACTGAACATTCACTATGCACTCTTTTCTGGAAAACCTGGAGTAATGGTGAACTTTGGGAGATGCAATGTTCAAGTTATGATGTTTTATAATAACTAAAGAGTTTTTCCACCAGCGCTAACATACTACAAATACCATCACCACTACATGTAACATGATGTAGTTTCTCTCTGCTGATTGGTTTAATAATCTAGATTAATAATAATAATAATATGCCATTTAGCAGACGCTTTTATCCAAAGCGACTTACAGTCATGCGTGCATACATTTTTGTGTATGGGTGGTCCCGGGGGTCGAACCCACTACCTTGGCGTTACAAGCGCCGTGCTCTACCAGCTGAGCTACAGAGGACCACATTAACATCAGCATACCAACAAACCTCAGGAAGTCTGCAATGAAATAAAACATGCAATTCATTATCTCGGGTCAACAAACAGTGTGTGCGCACGCATCTCACCAACTCAACGTTCTGAACCAGGGCAGGTGGTAGGAGTGGTACACACTGTAACCGATGTGGATGATCTCTTGGAAGCATTTGATCTGCACACACAACACCTGTAGAGAAAGATGCTCCATTATTACTTTGAACAGGTCTGTAATAAATTACTGTGGTGTGCCATTGACTGTCTGAGTTTTGATATCAACTACATGGTAGTTTGGGCTCCCGAGTGGCGCAGCGGTCTAAGGCACTGCATCTCAGTGCTTGAGGCGTCACTACAGACCCCCTGGTTCGATTCCAGGCTGAATCACAACCGGCCGTGATTGGGAGTCCCATAGGGCGGCAGAATTGGCCCAGCGTTGTCCGGGTTTGGCCGGTGTAGGCCGTCATTGTAAATAAGAATTTGTTCTTAACTGACTTGCCTAGTTAAATAAAGGTAATTTAAAAAAAATGGTATTCCCCTACCACACTTCACATTTGATATCACCCTGACAACAGTATCTGGATCAGTCTGTATGATTCCTCGCTGCTCAATACCATCTCATTTAATCATAGACATTTTGGTCAAATGTTCTTGTGCTGTGACTCTATTTATAGTTTCTGTGTTCTCTGTTCAGTTCCTGCAGCATGCTCTGGATAGTCCCCTGTAGAGCATGGCGCTTGCAACGCCAGGGTTGTGGGTTCGTTTCCCACAGGGGGCCAGTATGAAAATGTATGCACTCACTAACTGTAAGTCGCTCTGGATAAGAGCGTCTGCTAAATGACTAAAATGTAAATGTACAGTGAGGGAAAAAAGTATTTGATCCCCTGCTGATTTTGTACGTTTGCCCACTGACAAAGAAATGATCAGTCTATAATTTTAATGGTAGGTTTATTTGAACAGTGAGAGACAGAATAACAACAAAAAAATCCAGAAAAACGCATGTCAAAAATGTTAAATTGATTTGCATTTTAATGAGGGAAATAAGTATTTGACCCCCTCTCAATCAGAAAGATTTCTGGCTCCCAGGGGTCTTTTATACAGGTAACGAGCTGAGATTAGGAGCACACTCTTAAAGGGAGTGCTCCTAATCTCAGTTTGTTACCTGTATAAAACACACCTGTCCACAGAAGCAATCAATCAATCAGATTCCAAACTCTCCACCATAGCCAAGACCAAAGAGCTCCCCAAGGATGCCAGGGACAAGATTGTAGACCTACACAAGGCTGGAATGGGCTACAAGACCATCGCCAAGCAGCTTGGTGAGGTGACAACAGTTGGTGCGATTATTGGAGTGGATTTTTTTTTTTTATTCTGTCTCTCACTGTTCAAATAAACCTACCATTAAAATTATAGACTGATCATTTCTTTGTCAGTGGGCAAACGTACAAAATCAGCAGGGGATCAAATCCTTTTTTCCCCTCACTGTATGCTTTCTCCCTCCCAGCAGGTAGTCCAGCAGAGCAGCAAAGCAGAGAAGAGCCTGTTATTTCCACTGCGCTACACTCTGAGCCTTAATCCATTAAGGATACAGACAGACAAACAGCTGGCCCCAATTCAATCCCTTACCCTCTCTTTAGTCCTAACCTTTTGTTTCTGCAGATCTGTAAGGTGTGTATGCAATATGGTGGAAGCTCCATCACTGGACTGCGTATACCTATCCTGAGCCTGCAGATCCGGCAACATTGAGGGGTTAGGGCCAAGGGGGACGGGTAGGGAGCGATTTGGGATCGGCTAACAAACTGACTGACAGAAGGCTTAGGGAAAGGAGGAGGAGGATCACTCACAATCAGCATGAGCACCATGGGGCCCAGGTAGATGATGATGAAGAAGAAGGAGATCATGGCCAGAGTCAGGATCCCGCGCACCCACCAGTTCTTCCATCTGAGAATACACACACACACAGTTAATCCCCAGATGCAGTGTGTAATGAACGGTGTAATGAAAAGGTGAACAATAAGCATCCATATCAGTTGTTTGTGTGCACAAATCAATTGCTGGTCAATACATTCCTGAAGAATGTCAATATAGGCCTACACACTAGTCCCCTGTAGCTCAGTTGGTAGAGCATGGCGCTTGCAACGCCAGGGTTGTGGGTTCGTTTCCCACGGGGGGCCAGTATGAAAATGTATGCACTCACTAACTGTAAGTCGCTCTGGATAAGAGCGTCTGCTAAATGACTAAAATGTAAAATCAATATGAGTTATATTGAGCATAGCAGATGGTGTTTCATTAGCATTCAATTATCCATGTCTGAATAACAGGATGTTGTTAGGATGGAGGAGCAAACCGAAGATAGTAAATGAAAAAATCTAGATGTTGGTTGTGTCCCAAATGGCACTCTAGTCCCTATAAGCCCAGTGGCACTCCTTTTGACCAGAGACCTATGGGACACAGATATTACGTTTTGTGAATAGGTGATATTTCCCTTGTTCCAAACAATGGCCAAACCGGAGGTTGTGATTACCATAAGAAAATAGTCAATGAAAAAATCTATATATGTTGGTAGTGTTTACCGTGAGGACAGTCCAGATAGGGCTTTGTTGAGGACCTCGGGGGTGTCATCAGCAGGGACAGGCACCTCCAGGAGCCCTGTATCAGGCTTGGTCTCACTGTCAGACACCCCATCCTTCTCTGCTTTCCCCTCATTCTCAGATCCCTTGAGAGAGAGAGAGAGAGAGAGAGAGAGAGAGAGAGAGAGAGAGAGAGAGAGAGAGAGAGAGAGAGAGAGAGAGAGAGAGAGAGAGAGAGAGAGAGAGGAGAAGAGAGAGAGATAGAGATAGAGATAGAGATAGAGATAGAGATAGAGATAGAGATAGAGATAGAGAGACAGAGAGACAGAGAGAGAGTGAGTCATACAATGTAAACAAACACAGCTAGCCTCCTATGAGGAATGCTCCCCCACTTCCTTTCCGGGTCTATTTTATGTCAGTGAACAACAACATTGTGAGAGCAAGCTTGTAGTGCTTTTCTGCTTTGGCGTTAGGATATTCTGTCTGATAAATATATGGCTGATGGTGACAGAGTAATCAATATATTTCACAGTGTTTGCCCCCTTGATCCTCTCTGAAAGCTTGTTGCCGTGAAACTGCATTAATCCGGATGACCCTCTGCTTTTCCATGGCAACAAAACGTGTCATTAGACATTGCAGACTGCTGTGATGTCATCGTTGTCTCTCCCCTCTGCCCTCTCCTCCATAGCGCTACCAAAATTACACTGTTGTGTCACCTAACCTCCTATTAACACAACAGATAGCTGTTAGCCTACACTCTGCCTGTCTTGGTTGTCAACACACACACAGTACACACACATATAGCAGTAGCAAGGGCGGTGTGTTCAATAGGGCGATATGGGCGACGCACTGCCAAACGGGAAAAGGAAGGGATTTTTTTTCTAATCAATTATATCACGGCAACAGTAGTTATCAGTGTTCTAATCTGATCTGACTGCCACTAAATGTCAAATCAGGCTAAAGTCGTGCTTCAAATGGCCCCGCCCGTTTTTGGGGCGATTTCAATCATGTTGAAAATCGCCCAGAAGTCTGTCATAGACTCCCATGTAAAATCTATTTTTTTCAAATTTCAAAGCTTTCAATACAATCTCTATGGGTGTCTGTGGGCTTGCACTTACGCGCTTTCGTCATACGTGACGTAACCATGAACGTAACTAAGAAAATAGCGGCTAGCAGCGTCTCTGTTGCGACCTGCAGTGTGGCGTTATCTTATGTTTTTAATTTGTACACTTAGTGGCGTTATTTTATGTTTTTAATTTGTACACTTAGTTTACAAACATTCTGCCAACCATGGATTTCCAGTGGTGGGTTTTGGACTGATCTTGTTGATCGTGTACATACCCGCTACGAACGGACTAAATAATGAAAACGCTGCTGGCAGCGGAATCCAATACAGCTGGGAGACTTGGCTGGATGACAGAGTCCCGGACAGAGAAGTGGAGCCGGCCGGCTTCACCCTGGTCAGAGCGGACCGCGATCTGACACAGTCACAGGGAAAATCGATCCTGGTAAGAGAGCGACTCTGTACCCCCGACATTGAACTGCTTTCTGTGTCACTGCGACCTTACTATCTGCCCCATGAGTTCCCCCAATTGTTTGTTACCGTTGTGTACTGTTGATAATCACACGTTTACTGGAGAACTGAGACCAAGTAGAGACTTTGGACAGGGTGGATATGGTATAATAAAGGCAGTTTATTCAGAGGTAAAGATATCTGGAATCGCGTGCACGGACTCGTTCGTCAAACTCTTAGGGAGCTATCTGAAGAGAGCCCCGAAAACATTGTGTGCAGACATTTTATACAATAAATGATGTAGGTTGAATCTAGTAGTTCTGATCTTCTGATTGGTCCTGATGAGTTGGGCGAGGTCCCCTCCACTGTTGCATTGGCTCTGAGTCGGGTTCTCTGTCTTCAAATGTTCAGCCTAAAGAGAGGGGATTTTTGTGTGTGTGTGTGTGTGTGTTTAACAGTGATGATGTGTGTGTGTGTGTGTGTTATCAGTGATGATGTGTGTGTGTGTGTGTGTGTGTGTGTGTGTGTGTGTGTGTGTGTGTGTGTCCTCAGAGCAAGAACTCGTGAGTTGGAAGAACTGAGAGACCTATGGCGTGGGTGTTGTCCTTGGCCACCTGCTGACAAGGCTGACAAGATAGGACTCTTTTGTCCATTGTTATAGGATAGGAACAGCATTGATTGAAAACAAACGCCCAACACAAAATGGGTCATGCACAAGATTTTAGTCAGACCAAGCTATAACATTATATATTTACTACGACAGTACATTCAACCAAAAGCTAATATAACAAAGGCATCAGAGATTATTTATAATCTGTCACAGAAACTGGAATCCATCTCCCCAGATCAGTCAATAAATGCTTCTGGTATTGACTTATATGCTGCCCCTGTCTTCATGTTGTTGCTGGACATATCTTTTTTAAAATGTGTGTAGGTCACCTAAATCATCAGAAAAATTGCCCCTCCTGAGAATTTTTTCAGGAGCCGCCACTGAGCAGTAGGCCTAGCTATCAAGCTGATGGAACCCCAAGGCTTGCTGGTTTCCACGGTACCCATTTCCCATCAGTCAGGATGGACTGGATAAAAATAGCCCCTCCTTCCACACTCCTGCTGCTGAAGAGACCCCTTTCATGTATCCTGGGAGGCAAGGAGTAGCACTACACTACCCACACCTCCGTTTTGTTTTTGTCTCTGGTCACATCATCAGAATCAAGAGATTCATTCAACCATGTTAAGTAAGTAATGTAGGCCTATGCGATTTCTTTCTACTTTATCTTTTGACCTAAACTATGTCATGACTGTCCTGTGAGGATCCAATGGGTCAGATCAGCTTGGCAATGGTTGACAGTAACCAGGCCTCTCTCACCCACAGAAGAGGGGAGGAGGGGACTGGGCCAGTTTGACAGCTCACACCCTGTCGTAAATTAAAGGAGAGGAGATCTAGGGTCTCCCTCTCCAGTATTAACCAAAGGAATGTCTTTGTTAACAGACAGTCTTCCCGCCGAAACTCTAAACACATTAAAAAGTGAATACTGGAACAATATTTCTAACATAAGAATGTGGGGAACGGTCAGTGGGGATCTAAATAACAATCATGTCATATTGTTTAGTATTTTGTGATGTCATTAAGTATGGTATCAAGAAAATATTGTATCTTGGAAAGTATAACCTGACATACAGTGTGCTTCATCCTTTACATTGTATAGGAGATATGAAAACTGATGAAATTATTTTTGTTAAGATAGGAATGTGATTTTAGTTTTCTAATGAGATAATTGTTTTTCATATAAGCTTTGCACTAGTAAGTAGCCACGCCCCGAGTGAGCTCAGAGATCGTGTCAGCATGATGGAACGCCTCCTTTTACCAAGAGTGCATAAAGGCTTGAAAGACAAATTAACATCAGACCAGAAAGACGTGAGGCAGTCGCTACACGTCTGAAAATGGTTGGAACATTGAACCTCAACACGAGGTGAAGAAGATCAACTCCCAGACTAGAACCGAATATTGCCAGGCTGCAGCTGTGCGTGTAAAGTGGCTCAAACTCTGACTAACCACACGAGGTGGAAAGGAGAAAATCCCCTCTCAGACAATTACTGGGACGGCTAAGTAGCTGTTCTGGAGAGACCCCAATCCAAACCAAGACAACTAAGAAGAAGGACATTGTGACCTCTGGTGGACAACCAGAGCCTTACACCGACACAGGACACCACTAAAAACCCTTTTAAGAAGGCTTGGTTTCAACAGAGATAGACGACGAACAAAGACATCCACACGTAAATACATTCATGATTTCTTACTCCAAATGGGCGGTGGTTCAGGAGCAAAGTATTATGATTACTTTTAGGGTAGTTTCCAAACGTATCAACGATAAATGTTGTTAGTCCGCTAGGGACTTTTTCTCATGTATTAAGTGCGTATGTTATTCTGTATTATTATTTAGTTAGCTAGTAAATAAATAATTAAGCCAATTTGTGTAGTGCTGAATCATAAGTAAAGCTGGGGTTCGTGCAGATCCAAGAAGTCTACGACCGTTCAGAATGAGACTGATAAGAGGTAATGACTAATACGTTGACTGTTTTATACATATTGATAGGTAAAGACCTTTTAGAGTTTAATTTGGGAGATGGTAACTCCATAAACAACTTATTCCGTGGTGCCCCAAATCCTAATGAGTTAATTGTTACATGACTAATTTAATCGAGTAACAATTAAACATAGTTAGTTGATTCGATAAATAACAGTCATCATATTAATGAAAGTCACGTCACGACAGCTACCACAATAATAGACATGCACATGCACTCATACATACTGTACACAACAAACAAGGGTAAGTGCTATCCGGGATCCTTGGGACATCCCTAACCTTTTTACATTTGAATGGGGTAACGTCAGAGTTGGGACGTCCCAAGGAATCCGTATAGCACTGACCAACAAACAAGCCATTTCCTCTGGGTATAAATAGGCTGGATCTATTTTCCAGTGTCCTTAGGCTGTCACAATTTGACAGATATACTCATTCCCCGCCAATCATGCAGTCCAAGATCTATTCTTCAAACTTTCTGAGAGCAAACTGAGTCAACTTTGGCTCATATGATTTAAACTCTCAAAAACATTTTGTAGGCACATGACAGAGACACCAAGTTCTCCATGGAGAACTGATGATGCATCTGCAGGCAGGATCCTTCTACAGTCATGTCTGACTCTTAACCAAACCACAGAGCGCCACGGCCCTATACCACCAGCACAACACAGCTGCATGATGACACCTGCCTAACCGAACGTAGCAGGCGTAGACAGATGCCTGAGCGGAGTCCCCAAACAGAAACAACCGCTTCTGCCAACGTCGCTAAGGGTGGCGCCTGCCAGACAATCACTGATCAAAAACCAAGACGCAAGGCCTACATTCTACTGAGGCGGAAGAGCAAGTCAAATTGGACTTGGAGGGGGGAACACAGCATGTCTTTTAAGGACCCTGAAACTAGTAAAGCCCCACAGTGGAGCCTGTGTGATGGATGAGGAGAGAACAGGCAACACAACAAAGCAGCTGGACACTATTTTTATTTGAGCTCATGAAAGGCACTTGACTTCAATTTAGGGCTGGGCGGTATACCGTATTTTACAATATACCGGTATTGATGCATGGACCGGTTTGGGTTTTTACTTTATCTTCTATAACAGTATTTGAATGTTTGGTTTGTTAAATGTGATACGCCATGTGTAACGTCCATTTTTATAATTTACTCCGCTACTTGAGTCATCTCTCTCAGCTCTCTCTCCATGCTGCTTTCCACACAAACCTAGCCCCTCACCCTGTCACTCAAGGAGCGCATTTATTGTTGCTTAACCACAAGACACTTGCGTTCAGTCTGCATGGTAAATGCAGTACATGCAACAATGTTGATGACTACGATACTGTTTCCACTTTGCTTCTTAATATAAATCCACAAGCGTTGCATAATTAAACTATTAGTTTGTGTTTCTTACATCTGCAAACAGCTAGTTTGTCTTTTCTAGCTGGCTAACTAGCTATCTAATAAATGTACTGAGTCAGAGTAAACGTAGCTAGCTATACAGCCGGAGACCAGTGATGGTGTAGGCTAGGGATGTTATCGGTTAACCGCAGAAAATAAATTTGACTGGTAATGCTTATCGGTCTATAGGTTAATTAGCATACATTTGTTTTTTATTTGTATTGAATATTAAAACATACAATCTACCTACAGTGAAACTGCTCAACATTTACATTATCATCTAGCAGCCTCCCATCCAGAGCAACCCACAGGAGCAACCAGGATCAAGCGCCCTCCCAAGGGCACGTCGACAGATCTCCCACCAAGTCAAATCAGGGACCCGAACCAGTGACCTACCGGCCACCGGCCCATGCTCCCAACCGCCAGGCCACCAACCATCCAAGATCAGCCCACAGTTCCCTGAGAGCTGCCCCTCAACCATCCGAGTCTTCCTCCACTCCCTCCTAACTCTTACTTCCATTCAGCCACAAGAGCATTAGTGTGGTCAGGCACTGATGTTGGGCAATTAGGCCTGGCTCGCAGTCGGCATTCCAATTAATCCCAAAGGTGTTCGATGGGGTTGAGGTCAGGGCTCTGTGCAGGCCAGTCAAGTTTTTCCACACTGATCCCGACAGGGGCATTGTCATGCTGAAACAAGAAAGGGCCTTCCCAAAAATATTGCCACAAAGTTGGAAGCACAGGATCATCTAGAATGTCATTGTATGCTGTAGCGCTAAGATATCCCTTCACTCGAACCATGAAAAACAGCCTGTTACGTTCCCCAGTCTCTATGTTGTGGTTTGTGTATTTTCATGTAGGTATTTCAGGAAATGGGTTCCTGAAATTCCCCAACAAGCAGCTGATTGATTTGAAAAACATTGATGATTGGAGAGCTGACACCGCGCCCTCGTCAGGACGCAGCTGTCTCCAATTTACCAACTCCTCCTGAAGCTATATAAGCCCCAGTTGCTCAGAAAAGGCAGGGAAAGGGGAACCGAACCAGAATTGCTGAGAGTTACAGCATGTTGGTTGTATGCTAAGAGTTTGGTATGTACTGTGTTGTTGTTGCTCTGAGAACCAATTGTAATGTTTTGTGTTAGTTTGTGGCTCAGAGTTTCTTTAATGTCCTGAGTTAGTTTTTTTCTCAGGTTTTTGTTGTGAACCAGTTTGTGCTATTTTTGTTTCATTTGTTCCCAAGGGGGGAAGGGGAAGGCACCTAGGGAGTGCTTAGGCAAGAGGCCCGCGGGCATACATTACCCGTAGAAGTTGACTGTCTATGCACACTAGGAAAGACCTGGGCGGACCATCCCTTGTATTTTGGTTAGTGCACCAGGTGGTGCTAGTTAAGTAAGTAGTGGGTAGGCAGGTAAGGTAGGAGAGGGGGCTTTGATATTTACTTTATTTGCTTTGGTTCCGTCCAGCCCCTTTTCCCCAAACTTACCGTGCGAAGGAATAAAATTCCCTGTTAACGGTATTCTCTGCCTTTTGTCATCCTTACTCACACCTACAGTCCCATACCTCTTTCACCCCACGGAGAGTTTAGTTGTAGCAGGGTGTTGCGTTCCCTCTTCCGAGAGGCGTGCGTAACACAGCCCCAGACCATTATTCCTCCTCCACCAAACTTTACAGTTGGCACTATGCATTCGGGAAGGTAGTGATCTCCTGGCATCCACCGAATCCAGATTTGTCTGTCACACTGCCAGATGGTGAAGCGTGATTAATCACCTCAGAGAACACATTTCCACTGCTCCAGAGTCCAATGGCAGCGAGCTTTACACCACTCCAGCCGACGCTTGGCATTGCGCATGGTGATATTAGGCTTGTGTGCGACTGCTCGGCCATGGAAACCCATTTCATGAAGCTCCCGACGAACAGTTCTTGTGCTGACGTTGCTTCCAGCTGCAGTTTGGAAATTGGTAGATAGTGTTGCAACCGAGGACAGACGATTTTTACGCGCTTCAGCACTTGGCGGTCCCGTTCGGTGAGCTTGTGTGGCCTACCACTTCGAGGCTGAGCCGTTGTTGCTCCCAGACGTTTCCACTTCACGATGACCGGGGCAGCTCTAGCAGGGCAACAATTTGACAAACTGACTTGTTGGAAAGGTGGCATCCTATGACGGTGCCACGTTGAACATCACTGAGCTCTTCAGTAAGGCCATTCTACAACCAATGTTTGTCTATGGAGATTGCATAGCTGTGTGCTCGATTTTATTCACCGGCTGAAATAGCCGAATCCACTAATTTGAACGGGTGGCTACATACTTTGTATATATAGTGTACCCTCTCCCTTGTTATTGCTAGCTTCAACAGATTCAAACCCATCCTGTGCCTCCCTCAGTCTTTTCAACCTCCTCGCTCTTTCCCGCCAATACTCCTCCCTTAACCAATTACCCGACTCCTTCTGAAAATATTCAACTTTTCCAAGCCGAAATCTATTTTTATCCTCCAAGCCCTGCCAACCTGCATGAATATGTTAGCTACATGAAGTAGCTAAGCGAAAACATTTAATGTCACCAAAGATTTTAGGGTCCCCTAGGAAACACTGACCAACACTTTGGTTCCTACCCTGTCACAATAACTCCTCCCTGGCATTTTCATTCGTTGTCATATCAAACAACACTGTATTCAAAGTGCCCACTATTACCTTCTAACTATAGAATTAGAATAATCATTATTTCTCCTTGATTCCAAGAGTTCACCCAAGTGTTTTGATCTAAATTGCAAGTCAAATCACAATTAACATTTGGTTACAAATAAGGCCTCGATTTTTTTGCCCATATCGTGCAGCCCTATATGGCAGTGTGGAAATGATCTCAAATGAGTGCAGGAAATGCAGAAAAATATTTTGGGTTTTAGTTTAATTGAACAGTATAAAACAATCAGAATGGAGAGAGACCCATTAAATCACTTAAATCACTTATGTGTTGCCACCCTAGGGTCACGCACTACTCATAAAGCAAATGTATAACTTTTATTATCCAAAAACATAAAATACCTTCATTTGGAAAATACTGTGATATAATATTTTGGCCATATTTCCCAGCCCTACTTTAATGTATAGTAACTAGGTTTATTTCTTCAAAACAGCCCACAACTGGCATCATACATACTAGCTATAAATTGAGGCAGTGATGGTGATCTGTCTGTGGCTTGAAATGTGTATGTGGGTTGTCCTTCATTTTACATTTACATTTTAGTCATTTAGCAGATGCTCTTATCCAGAGCGACTTACAGTTAGTGAGTGCATACATTTTCATACTGGCCCCCTGTGGGAATCGAACCCACAACCCTGGTGTTGCAAGCGCCATGCTCTACCAACTGAGCTACACGGGACTGCAGAGTTGATTGGCCATGGCCATTTCAATTCAGCCTACCTCATGAGTTGAAGTCCAAACCATACATTGGAAAAGTAGGCAGAGTTTATGACTAATAAATTGATTTAGTTAATTGAATAGATACGTCTACCTAACGTGAGACGGCTTGACCGACTGAGGGGTGGAGCATGGCGTCTTCAGCGAAAAGACGAGCAGTTGGAAAGGGAGTAAGTCCCGATGATAGTGAGGATAACAGCTCGGATGAGGGATCGGAAGACGATGGTGATTCAGGAGAGGAGGACAGCGGATCAGAAGAGGAGAGCAATGAAGAGGTCAAGGCCGAGGATAGAATAGACGCCGGAAGGGAAAGGAGGGGGAAAATGGAGTCCTTAGAGAAGGCAAGAAACAGATATAGGTTTGGAGAAATGCAGTATTATCATAAGGAGATGTATACTTGGAGAAATGGAGGGGAAAAGAGAGGCAGAGGAGGTCTAAGAAAGAGATGGAGGAAGATTGTGAGTTTGAGTCAGTTAAAAATGGCGGGAAAAATTTAGAAGGTTTGTTAAAGAAGTGTGGTAGGAAATGTAAGCAAAGTGAGCTGAAGACAGGAGTAGAAATGGAAGTGAATGAGGGTGATGTATCGGAGGTGGAAGGTGTGGTGACGTACTTGGAGCCCGAGGATTGCACAGCGGATCAGGATAAAGATGAGTCTGTGACAGTAGGAGTGAAGTTTGTGGAAAAAATGGATCCTTTCCTTTTGGCTGATCCAATTGTGGTTTCAAGATGGGTGAAAAGAGCGTTGGGTAAAGTGGAATCGGTGAGGGTAACCAGAAGTGGTCTAGTGATAATTGTTTGTGTTTCTGTTGGGCAGAGGGAGACGGCGCTCAGAGTTAAACAAATGGGAGAAAGAATTGTGAATTGTTTCGCTCTTAAGAAAAGGGCGCCATTGAGAGGAGTGATTACTGGAGTAGCAGTGAATGTAAAAGTTGACCAACTGAAGGAGATGATTCCCGGTGTGTGTGATGCTCGTCGTTTGGTGCGACGTAAACAGGGTGGCGAGAGTGGGGAAACAGAAGAGTCATTGTCTGTTCTTTTTAGTTTTGAAGTTGAGTCTTTGCCTGAGAAAGTGAGGTTAGGATATATAAGTTATCCAGTGCGAGCATATGTGCCGAATACCTTAAGATGTTACAGGTGTCAAACTTATGGGCATGTGGCAGCAGTGTGTAGGAGGGAGATTCCAAGGTGTGAGAAGTGTGCAGAAGGGCATGAGACAAAGGAGTGTGAAGCAGTGGGGAAAGTGGTGGTGTGTGCTAATTGTAGGGGTGGCCATGGGGCTGGGGATCAGACATGTCCAGTGCGAGAGAAGCAGGTTGAGGTATCCAGGGTAAGAGTAGAGAAGAAGTTGTCATATGCGGAGGCAGTGAAGAAAGAAGAGGAAGATGGGTCAAGGGGGAGGGATCCTGAGAGAAATTGTGTGAGTAGTAGAGATGTACCAGTACAGAGGGATAAAGCTAAAAGTGATATATGGTTCAGCAAGATTGGATTTTTAGCGTTTATAGCAATGGTTATTAATTGTGCTGCAGGGATGGAACGCAAATCGAAGAAAGTTGAGGTGGTGGTGGCAGCTGCAGAGAGATATTTGGGTGTGCGAGGCTTGACAGCAGAAGAGTTACCGGGAGTGTTAAGTGGTGATATCCCATCAATTCAGGTTGAGGGCATGAGGTAGGAGTGAGTGTATTTAAACAGTGGAGAAGGGTGGGGTTAATTATTAGTTGTAGTGTTGAAGGTGTGAGTGTAGTGTTAGATGGTAGGATATTTCTTTGCTTTGGTTTCTTTGTTTCTTTTATTTTTCAAGGAAATATAAGGGAGTTGAACTCCAGTCTAGTAGGTGGCGGTAATGCAACAAATTGGATGCCAACCGCCGTTAAACCTCATTGAAGAAGAAGAAGTCTACCCAACGTTAGCTGCCCTGTCCACACAGTAAATGCACCACACCTCTTTTCGGTTCAGTGGACTGGGGAGTAGGCAGAGAGGAATAGCTATACTTCTTGTTACTTTCAATGACACGCTAGAGACAAACGTTAGATATATAGATAGCTAGTTAACCACTCACGGTATCTTGTTAAGGTGTGCCATTCAAGCCAGACCTAATGTTAGCAGCAAATCAGCATACCATTTGTTAGCGTGCTAGCTATGTTTTGCTAGTAAGCAAACTAGCGCTAATTAAATGGTAACGTTAGACGTGGCTGGCTAACTAGCTTGCCTTGTACGCTATTAAAGCTAGCTAACTAATTCTTATCATTATTATAGTCACAATCATAATTTGTGGCATGATCTCCCATCTAGCGGGTCTTGCTTGCCTTGACTAGCTAACAGGTTTATTCCAAATGGTAGTCCATAAACACTCCGTAGTACCGTAGTAGGTTAGCTAGCTACCTTGTCTTCGGATTGTTGATATAGTAGGTCGTTTTCCGTTGTTCCGCGGTGCCGTAGCTCTGTCATTTCTGCAACTCGCGTCCCAGCTACTACAGAAGAGTGAGTGTCTGTGACAGGGTTGTTACAGCTTGCCAGCTATCAACCTTTGCTAGCTTGCTAAACAACAAACTACGACGGTTTCGTTCGACATAAATTATCCTTTCTTGTTTGCCCCAGATGATGCACGTCCCTCTCACTGGGTTTCCACGAGATATTGCAGCCACAAAGTCAATTATATTGGCTATATCGTAAAAAGTCATGAAAACAAACATTTGCGGTTTGGTCTAAATCTAAGGACGGTTAGGTTTACGCATACTGTTAGCAGTGTGGTTAAGCTTAGGTTTAAAATAAAACTTTAAGAAGAGCAATTTAGCAACCGGTTACTCAACCCTGCACCTTACAGGCTGTTGCCTCGTATACATAGACATGGAATCACTGGTCACTTTAATAATGGAACACTAGTCACTTTAATAATGTTTACATAATGCTTTACTCATTTCATATGTATATACTGTATTCTATTCTTCTGCATTTTTGTCAAAGCCACTCCGACATTGCTCGTCGTAATATTTATATATTTCTTAATTCCGTTCTTTTACTTTTAGATTTGTGTGAATTGTTAGATACTATTGCACTGTTGGAGCTATGAACACAAGCATTTCGCTACACCCGCAATAACATCTGCTAAATATGTGTATGTGACGACCCTCAGAGTTGAGTCACGACGTTGCTAATGGTTTGTAACGTTGGCTTGCAATGGGTGGGGAACACTCTCGAAAATCAACTTTCTCTAGTCTAGATTTATAAAAAGTTGATGCGTTCCATAGTGGTAACTGCTGGTTGTGGTTTTTGGGTTGTGGATTTCATATAAAATAATATATGTGTGTACATATACAGTGTGTACATATATTATATTTGTATATACAGTACCAGTCAAAAGTTTTGACACACCTACTCATTCAAGGGTTTTTCTTTATTTTTACTATTTTCTACATTGTAGAATAATAGTGAAGACATCAAAACTATGAAATAACACATGGAATCATGTAGTAAGCAAGTGTTAAACAAATCAAAATATATTTTATATTTGAGATTCTTCAAAGTAGCCACCCTTTGCCTTGATGACAGCTTTGCACACGCTTGGCATTCTCTCAACCAGCTTCATGAGGTAGTCACCTGGAATGCATTTCAATTAACAGGTGTTTCTTGTTAAAAGTTAATTTGTGGAATTTCTTTCCTTCTTAATACGTTTGAGACAATCAGTTGTGTTGGTAAAAGGCCGTCCATATTATGGCAAGAACAGCTCAAATAAGCAAAGAGAAATGACAGTCCATCATTACTTTAAGACATGAAGGTCAGTCAATACGGAACATTTCTAGAACTTTGAAAACCATCAAGCGCTATGATGAAACTGGCTCTCATTAAGACCACCACAGGAATGGAAGACCCAGAGTTACCTCTTCTGCAGAGGATACGTTTGTTAGAGTTACCGCCTCTGAAATTGCAGCCCAAATGAATGCTTCACAGAGTTGAAGTCACAGACACATCTCAACATCAACTGTTCAGAGGGGACTGTGTGAATCAGGCCTTCATGGTCGAATTGCTGCAAAGAAACCACTACTAAAGGACACCAATAATAAGAAGAGACCTGCTTGGGCCAAGAAACACGAGCAATGGACATTAGACTGTTGGAAATTTTACCTTTGGTCTGGAGTCCAAATTTGAGATGTTTGGTTCCAACCGCCATGTCTTTGTGAGACACATGTGTAGTTCCCACCGTAAAGCATGGAGGTGTTATGGTGTGGAGGTACGTTGCTGGTGACACTGTCAGTGATTTATTTAGAATTCAAGGCACACTTAACCAGCATGGCTACCACAGCATTCTGCAGCGATACGCCATCCCATCTGGTTTGGGCTTAGTGGGACTATCATTTGTTTTTCAACAGGACAATGACCCAACACACCTCCAGGCTGTGTAAGGGCTATTTTACCAAGAAGTAGAGTGATGGTGTGCTGCATCAGATGACCTGGCCTTCACCTGGAAAAGCATTCCAGGTGAAGCTGGTTGAGAAAATGCCAAGAGTGTGCAAAGCTGTCATCATGGCAAAGGGTGGCTATTTGAAGAATCTCAAATATAAAACATATTTTGATTTGTTTACTACATGATTCTATATGTGTTATTTCATAGTTTTGATGTCTTCACTATTATTCTACAATGTAGAAAATAGTAAAAATAAAGAAAAACCCTTGAATGAGTAGGTGTGTCCAAACTTTTGACTGGTACTGTGTGTGTGTGTGTGTGTATATATATATATATATATATATATATATGTACAGTAAGGGAAAAAAGTATTTGATCCCCTGCTGATTTTGTATGTTTGCCCACTGACAAAGAAATTATCAGTCTATAATTTTAATGGTAGGTTTATTTGAACAGTGAGAGACAGAATAACAACAAAAAAATCCAGAAAAACGCATGTCAAAAATGTTATAAATTGATTTGCATTTTAATGAGGGAAATAAGTATTTGACCCCCTCTCAATCAGAAAGATTTCTGGCTCCCAGGGGTCTTTTATACAGGTAACGAGCTGAGATTAGGAGCACACTCTTAAAGGGAGTGCTCCTAATCTCATCTTGTTACCTGTATAAAAGACACCTGTCCACAGAAGCAATCAATCAGATTCCAAACTCTCCACCATGGCCAAGACCAAAGAGCTCTCCAAGGATGTCAGGGACAAGATTGTAGACTTACACATGGCTGGAATGGGCTACAAGACCATCGCCAAGCAGCTTGGTGAGAAGGTGACAACAGTTGGTGTGATTATTCGCAAATGGAAGAAACACAAAAGACCTGTCAATCTCCCTCGGCCTGGGGCTCCATGCAAGATCTCACCTCGTGGAGTTGCAATGATCATGAGAACAGTGAGGAATCAGCCCAGAACTACACGGGAGGATCTTGTCAATGATCTCAAGGCAGCTGGGACCATAGTCACCAAGAAAACAATTGGTAACACACTACGCCGTGAAGGACTGAAATCCTGCAGCGCCCGCAAGGTCCCCCTGCTCAAGAAAGGACATATACAGGGCCGTCTGAAGTTTGCCAATTAACATCTGAATGATTCAGAGGAGAACTGGGTGAAAGTGTTGTGGTCAGATGAGACCAAAATGAAGGTCTTTGGCATCAACTCAACTCGCCATGTTTGGAGGAGGAGGAATGCTGCATATGACCCCAAGAACACCATCCCCACCGTCAAACATGGAGGTGGAGACATTATGCTTTGGGAGTGTTTTTCTGCTAAAGGGACAGGACAACTTCACCGCATCAAAGGGACGATGGACGGGGCCATGGACCGTCAAATCTTGGGTGAGAACCTCCTTCCTTCAGCCAGGGCATTGAACATGGGTCATGGATGGGTATTCATGCATGACAATGACCCAAAACACACGGCCAAGGCAACAAAGGAGTGGCTCAAGAAGAAGCACATTAAGGTCCTGGAGTGGCCTAGCCAGTCTCCAGACCTTAATCCCATAGAAAATCTGTGGAGGGAGCTGAAGGTTCGAGTTGCCAAACGTCAGCCTCGAAACCTTAATGACTTGGAGAAGATCTGCAAAGAGGAGTGGGACAAAATCCCTCCTGAGATGTGTGCAAACCTGGTGGCCAACTACAAGAAACGTCTGACCTCTGTGATTGCCAACAAGGGTTTTGCCACCAAGTACTAAGTCATGTTTTGCAGAGGGGTCAAATACTTATTTCCCTCATTAAAATGCAAATCAATTTATAACATTTTTGACATGCGTCTTTCTGGATTTTTTTTGTTGTTATTCTGTCTCTCACTGTTCAAATAAACCTACCATTAAAATTATAGACTGATCATGTCTTTGTCAGTGGGCAAACGTACAAAATCAGCAGGGGATCAAATACTTTTTTCCCTCACTGTATATAAATGAAGGATGTATTGTTTCATTGGTTCATTTAATCTTGAAGGCTACACATTCACAGCTAAAAGCTGAATTGCGGTATAGGCCGACAGATAAAGTAGACATAACAATTAGGTAGATTAGCAAAACAAATAAATTGATAATGGTGATGAAGCCAGCTTCAGAGAGTTCCTTCATGACGGAGTGTGCCCGCTCATGGTGGAGACTGGTGTTTCAGATGATCGATGCCAGATGATGCAGTTGGCTTGCTGATACTGGAAGTGGGCTAAAATGAATGTGAAGTTGAGATGTTTTTGTTTTGCAATTTACATTTTTGACACCATGTGGCAGCAAAGGCTGACAAATGTATTGAATGAAGACTGTTTGAGATGCTTTGTGCAGCATGCGTGCATGTGTGTGTAGCATCGTGCGTGCATTAGTGTGTGTGTGTGTGTGTGCGTGCCGCTCCCTCCCCAGCAGCACAGAGATGTGGTTCATCCAAGTGGCGTGACGGGTATGGAGCAGTATAACTACTTAATAGCCTCCTGCAGAGTCGGAGTGAAGCTAAGGCATCATTGCAGACCAAACACAACAGCCAAGTTTTTATGCTTCTCAGGGTGTTTCCACTCTTTTCTCCTCTTAATATTACATTTTTTATAAGAGCGTACTAAAGGGTAATCAATAGTGCTTTAAAATCAGTAAAGTAAGCTAAAAAATAACTACAATTTCTATAAAAACATCAGTGCTCATGTAAAATACGTCTAACTGTGAAGTGATGTTTTTTAAATTCTTTATCAGTCCTTTGAATTACATCCTTTGATTCTTGCATATATCCATTGAGAGCCCTCACCACAGCAGCCAATGCTGGAGCACAGCACATAGATGTATGACTCGTCAAAGACCCCTGTAGTGCTGGAAGAGATAAATAAATCTATGACAATTAATGTATGCAGCACTTTTCTTCCATCAATCACTCCCTCGAGGTGATCTATAAGCTACATATCCATCCTCTATCTACTTTACAATCATTGTGATTCCACATTCCCTGACAGTATCAGATCCATGGCGTTTTGAGGGTGCTGCACATACTGCATCTTGTTATTGGGTGA